AAAAAAAAAAAAAAAAACGTTCACTTTTAAAGTCTCTATATAAAGGGAATTGAATTTTAGAAGAGTAGCGTACTCATGCCACCCATTTCACTTTGTTCTTTAACGAAGATCTCGAAGTACTGGTATATGATCGTGACGGCTAGTAGGATACCGGTACCGGAACCGATCGCTCCGAGAAAATCGGCCAGTACCGACAAAGCACCGATACACAATCCGCCGAACGCCGCGGCAGTCGGAATATATCTGTTTAGCTCGTGGATCAACGAGTTGTCTCTGTGCCCTCTCATCACCATTTGCTGCTCCTTCAGTTGTTTCGCGATCTGGGGAAAAAATTTCGTTCAATGCAGAAGATTGTTTAGATTTCGATTAATAAAGAATATTAACAGTGGATTACTAACATCTTTCGCTGAACTACCGGAGACCTCGATCCATGTTTTTGAGAAGAACGCGCACGACCCAAGCATGAACAGAATATACAAAAACGCGTGAACGGGATCCTGTAGGATGTGCCCGACGGATTCAGGGGGCGATAAATAGTAGCACAATCCACCAACAGGATAGGATCTGGCGGGACCACCGCCGCCAACATCGGACCACACACCCAGAAGGTTGACGATGATGTTCCCTTGGAACTTGACCGCCAACATTTGCGAGATAACGTACAGATTCGACACCAACGCGGACTGAAGGATAATCGGAATGTTACTGGTGTAGAACAGTTTGATGGGATAGCTGCTGTACTGGCCTCTGTATCTGGCAGATTTGATCGGCAAGTCAACACGGAAGCCCTGTTAAAAACAACATCGTTAGAATCGCAAAATTTAATCTTGTGGATATCGAAATTCGACTGGGTTGACAATATTACCTGGAAGTAAATGACTATGGCGAACACCAAGATGGTGGCGAGCAAGTTCATGAGATTGGGAAGGTTCTGCCTGTAGAAGGCTTCGCGCAGAGCTCGAACTTTGTCCTGCCTTGTAGCCAATAAGTGGAACAATGCGATCACAGCACCTTCGAACTCGGTACCACGTCCTGGAGTATTCATAATATAGATTGGTCAGTGTACATTCATGATTCAATGTCATAGCAAAGAACAGGGGGAAAGAAAGGAGGGGAAAAATCGTACCAGTGTTAACAGTGGCTGGAGAGAAGGCCTTCCACACAATTGTCTCGCAAATATTGGTTGCAATGAACAGAGAGATTCCGCTGCCCAATCCGTATCCCTTTTGAAGCAGTTCGTCCAATAACAGTACGATTAATCCGGCAACGAATAACTGAATGATGATTAATAAACAAACTCCGGCTCCAATTACTGTCGGGTCTCCGTACATGCCAGTCATTACGTATACAATGGCCTGACCGACTGTGATGACCATACCGAATACTGTAAACCAAAGGAAAGAGAGGGTTATTTACCTGAATCGAGAAAACGATCCAGTACACGTTAACGGATTTTTCTTACGTTTCTGTGCTCCATTAAACAGAGCTCTGTCCTTTATGGTATCACCGACTTCGATGATTTTCGCGCCGCTTAATAGCTGCATGATTAGACCAGATGTGACGATTGGTGAAATTCCCAATTCCATGAGTGTTCCCCTGTTTGACGCAAGTATCACACGTATCCAATAGAAAGGGTCGGCGCTGTCCGAAGACATAATACCGAACAGAGGAATCTGTGAAGACGAATGAACAAACGTATTTATTAGAAAGTCTGAGAGAGTAAAAAAAAAATAATACTGGTAGGTGATTGCAATATCCATTATTGAGAGGAAATCTACTTTCTTTCTGAATTCAAGAACATTGGAATGAAGTGGAAGACAGATAGTCTATTTGATCCAGAGTATGATTCAAGATCACAAACTGTTTTGTTAATTTTATTGTCTCAGTACCTAAAATTGACTATTTTCAGAGGTAACTATACACTAAGGAAATAAATCTAGTGTTTTAAACAGAAGCTTTCTTTCCAGATCCAATCTAAATAAAGTCCTTAACCATTCAGTCCAAAGATCACTTCTGGTATCTTAGAATTTCAAGAACTAGTTCAAAAGGAAGATTAATTGATAAATGAAATACTTTGCACAAGATCAGAGGATGATATTAATTTCCCACTGTCAAAACACTCTCTTTTAACTCGACCCGCATCTTTCTTTATGCATTTGTTGGCTTTACCACCTCTCCGTAATGTCACCTCTAAGAATACCACGAAGGAGCCTTACCTGACAGCATACTAAGAAGATAAACAACGTGATTGCAGTCCATAGTACCTTCTCCCGGAATTGAATCTACGAAACGGATGATGAACAATTAGAAAAGCGCATTTCTCACGGCGAAATCGCGTTACAAAGGTACGGTAAGACGGTGGCTTGGCGTCAACTTACTTTCCGTTGCGGCTTCTCGATTTCCGGGAGTATGCTGCAAAACGGTTTTATCACCTCCAGAAATTTGACTGAAAAGTGCAAAGGCCACCGATGAATATACGTTATTGTTCGTCGTCGTGAACGGAAATAACATTGGTTTCGACGATGCGTGCAATATGTGTTATGAAAAAATGGGAAACCGAGAGGTTACGGTCACGGTTAATATCGTGGCGAGACGGAATGCGACCGCGAAACATTTCGATAGTTTCTGAATGGCAACTTTGTGTACTTACAACCCATTTTGAATCCGAGATGCGAATATTCTATACGACGCTGCTCACTGATGTCTCCGAAACAACACAGCCGCGAGGACACCCGACTCAAGCTAAAACACGAGTAAACCTGGCCGCGTATGCCCGACTGGCAAATCGTAGTGAGTCGTGGCTCCCTTCGTCGACACGTATCAATATGCTATTGTCACGTGACCTGATGATGTTGGCCGGCACGAAAATGTACTTCCGTAAACCGCGACGAGATGACGCCGGCTGACAGCAGCTATGGCGACATCTGTGTAAATTGACGACCAACATCGAGCGTCTGTAATGGTACAATATTGCTATCTACTGACAAGAACGTAGTACTAATTGACTAACAGTTTAGACGTTCTAACGTAGATGGCGCTGCATACCCTTTTTTTTATAAATATTAAATTCGATAAGGAATAGTAAATACTAATCATATAATGTTACAATAATAAATATAGAATCTAACCCAATCTTAGGCCACTCCTGATAAATGATCCTGCTTTAGGAAATATAATTTCCTTTTCCAGACCTCTTCAGATGGTTCAGACTGGTTCAGACTACGTCGTCTGGTGTTTCCAGAAGCAATGGTTAATAGGAAGTGTATGGGAGTAAACAGAAAATTATTTTTTTATACGAATTTGTATGCAGCGCAGTTAGAATTTAACGTCGCCCAAAACCGATTCGGAAGCATGAGAAGGTCGATTCGCTGGGGTTCTACCTGACTAGATTTAAAGTTGACCGGTGAACTGTTTTTAACGCGCAGTCGTCGAGTTCGATGAAAATGTTCGGGGAGGATGGGAGCAAGTTTGTTGTATTTGCGCTGGTTCTGACGCTTTTCTGCGACAGGACGTCTTCAGAATGCGCGCAGCTAACACCTTGCAGTTGTATATTCCCTAACGGCCAAGGATACAATCTGACACAGCTCGGTGGCTCAAGGTTCGCAGACCTAATACTCCTAACCTCTGCCATTTTCTCAGTCGACCGTTACTTAAATACGAATATCTTATTCCAGGAATTTTACAGCGAGTGCCAATGGTCAAACTTTCTATTTTCATCCATGCTCGAATATACAGATGATAAACGGTAGCGAATGTTATAATGGAACGGGAGTCTCTGTAAGAAACAGTGCCACAGATATTACAGACTCTTATGGCCCTGTGCCATACCGTTATTAATAGCCTGTAGATATTTATGCAAATGTAGAGTTTAGTGGACTGAATTACAGAAACTGGAATTAAACAGAAAATTACTTGTCCAGTTAACCCATTTGCATCATAAGCTCATATATGCGCGCGGAATTTTCCTGGCCAATATCACCGAAGCGCAGATATGCGCGCTTTATTGAACTAAATAAAATTATGAATTCTTTGTGTACCCCATTTTTATCTTTTTTTATGCATTTTGCAACATTTCTATGTTTATACAATAAAAAAAAATTTTGGTGATATGGGTCAATTTTCCTTTTTTTCGAACGATGTAAATGGGTTGAGGGTTCCATCAGGTTCCATATAAAATCTGCAATCTAGTTATGAATGTTGATGCTTCTGGGTATAAGCTACGTTACTCTGAAACAATTATCTTGGATAGAAAATTAAAGATTTGCCAGAATTGCATCTGTTTTTGTCGGGCACCCAATAATATTATAAATGTCTATTCATTTTTCTAAAGGGGCAAGATTTATGCCCTAAAGTCTCAACAGCAACAACCGTATGAACAGGGCCATACTATTTCATATTTATTCTAAAAGCATCTAATTTATATTGTTTTCATAGTTATGTCTAGTCAATAAAAATAAAACTATTAGTCTTGGAACTGTAGAGGAAACCACTATAAACATAGAATCTGAAAGTTCCACGAAACCTGCTTTAACACTTCGTCACGGAAGTTATACAACAGTAATACGATTGCTGTGTTGTAACAGTTGTAATACACATTTGGTGTCTGATTCTATTGACAGCGATAAGGATTACGTGAGTTCAACGAAACTTTTGTGGATAAAATGTATTTCGTGGTGGTGAAACTAATTCTTTCGAATCTTGTTTCAGCATTTGCTACTGATGTCTCCTTACGCTTGCCAAAGTCAATTACGCACAAAGGGCCTTTCGACTGGCTCATTACTGGTCATCTATTTGTTTGTGTTTACTGCTCTATATTTTGTCGGCGGAGCGATAGCATTGAAATGGTTGAGAGGAGCGACTGGTCGGGAAATGATAGCGAATTACAGCTTTTGGCGGGAGCTTCCTTCACTTGTCAGAGTGAGTTTCACGAAGACCTTGTCTCCCGATGCTGCTTACCCTCGTAACACAAATGAATATTTTTCTGGTTTTCTTTTCTTTGCAGGATGGCATTGCCTTTACCTTCAGTTGCGGCCGAGGCGATAGCTACGAAAGAATATAGAAGCTCAACTTATTTAGATACAGTGTTCCATTTTATGATAGATTTTATACTATATAAATAACGAACGATGTTTATGTTTCATGTGTTGCATATGTTAGAGTTTACAGACGATTATATTGTTTAACGTTCTGCACAGTAATTCTGCTCTTACCAAGAGACGAAAGTATTTTCTACGACATATACTTCTCTTGTACTTTTGTAAAAATAACATGTGATATTTATTAATTAATTCTCGTATGTATATAGATACACGTATAAAAACAGGAAAATTACATTGAATCGATCGTGCGAGGACTCGAAACGCCTCTGATCGGAGAGTATCAGCAACGTTCACTGCATAATATTTTATTAACGCTAGCGATACAAAAGTATAAATACCTATATATACATACATATATTTTCTATACCTTTAGTTTCTCGACACGTGTACGTATGTAAAGTCTGCAAAGACGGTTTCCTCTCAATTATATACGACCGTGGAGACACGAGTGTTTTCAACGAAAGGACAACTGGTTTCACTCGTTCCCTAACCTATTAGAGTCGAATAATAAATTAGAAAACCCTGCAAAAAGAGACCTAATACGTCTCGATACCAGAACTAACGACCGTTACTCGATCGTCTCGAGTTTTTTCAAATACTGTATTATCATATTTTTCTTTCTTTCAAACATGTACATGCAAACGGAAGAGAGGTGGGAATGGAAGAAGGCAATACGCAGATCGAATCTAGAACAACTGTACCCTAAGAACACCTGCACTTTTGGGTCAAATAACACCGACACGGGTAATGAGAAATTCCTATATCTACTTCCCGAACAAATATTTTTATGCTTGATTGCATATAATTTGTTGTCACCATAGGTATCCCGAATCGTGTCAAAAGTAACAGAGATGGTTCAGAGTTCTAGGCGCCCCAAGTACCCAGGCCTTAAAAGTTCTTGATGCCCTGAACGCTCACAGAGGCTTCCCGCTCGGTCTGGATTATTATCCAGCTGCCGTTGGCGTTCAGGCTATGGATATTGATCCCCTCCATCGAGTAAGCGTTCACGATCACGGCCAAGTCTTTGACATCGTTCACTTTGTACAGAGACACGTGATCACCCAAAACGATCCCATTAGCGAACACCGCGTCGTCCAGTGAAAGAAGTAGAAGTTCGTTGCCACGAATCGTTCCTGTGCAAACAGACACATGAGGATAACCAGAAGGAAGTGCAGAGACCATTATGGAAGTCCAGTCCACTCAACCCAAACATCCATCTATGATACATTGGACGATAGACATACCAGTGATTTTATGTCCCTCGACTTGAATCAAGACAGCCTTGGTCTCAGCCTCCTGATGGCTGTCCTGCAGATCGACGCCTATCTCTTGGGCCAGCGAGGGGGCGTTGATCAGGTTCAGGCTGTCCTTTGTCTGCGCAGACAGGATACCAACGAGCACAGCAGCGTGAATGAACGCCTTATCCCTCATCCCGCTTCCGATCGTCTCGCTTTTCACAACGAAGTTCGTTTTGCCCTTCGACAGCCGGACGGCCAGTTGTCCAAGCTTCTTCGCAAGCTTGATCCACGGTGTGTTCTCCTCGTTCATTGCGTCGGTCAGCATCGGGGCGTTCATGATCCCTGTGACCGCGTATTCGGTCGACTTGCCTGCCAACGCTAGAAACTGTTGGGCTATCTCCACCGCCACTCGTTCCTGAGCCTCGGCGGTGCTGGCTCCTGAATTGCAAAATATAGGTTATGTTCATTTGGACAGACAGAACCGACCACTAGGTTCAACGTGGGCAGTTCTCCTACCTAGATGAGGAGTTGCAACGACTTTAGGATGCGCTATCAGCTTCAAGGTGACCGGATTCTTCGGTGGTTCTTCGACAAATACATCCAGAGCTGCGCCACCACAGTGGCCAGACTCCAGGGACTTCAACAACGCTTCCTCGTCCACGATACCACCTCGAGCCACGTTCACGACACGCACACCTTTCTTACATTTTGCCAAAGTGGTCGCGCTGATTAGGTCTGTAACGAATGACGTCAGGGAAATGTGTCTAACGGGAGAGAGAGTAGATGATTCTATTGGGGTGACCGAGCTTACTTCTCGTCTGAGGAATCAGAGGTGTGTGCACGGTGATGTAGTCCGCCTGAGGCCAGATTTCGTCCAATGTAAGCTTCTCCACAGCAAGATTCGTCGCGTCCTCGGCCGTCAATATTGGGTCGAACGCAATAACTCGCATTCCAAACGCTTGCATCCTTCGTGCCACCTCGCGACCAATTCTGCCCATGCCCAGAACCGCTAGCGTTTTACCAGACAGCTCGAAGCCTGAGTACAATTTTCTGTCCCATCGTCCCTCCTTCAAGGCACCAGCCGCTTGGGCCACGTTTCTTGCCAATGACGAGATCAACGCGCATGTTAGCTCGCAGGCGCTGATACTGTTCCCACCTGGGGTACTGCAAAACAATCCAGATAGATGTTTAAGACACGGTGGATTTTTAACATTCTATGTGTGATCCGTGTTATTCATAATTAACCCACGTGTCCACGCGAGGGAAAACCTTAACCTGTACAAAAGAGTTGGCAGAAGCTGTTTATATGAACAAATTCCAAGGGCAGATCCTAAACTGTACAACAAAATTGAGACATGTGGGAGGCAAAAATTTTAACACATAGTGTTACAAAATCATCATAAATCCTTGAAAAGGTATGCATTCTATTAATAGAGGCTGTTGGTCGTGTTCCAAATTATACAGCAATATTAAACATTACGAAGAAAACAAAGAACAAAAGAAAAGAAGAATTTTGTAACTCTGGGAAGGGAGGTGGGAAAAATCCAATTTTTTTCTTGTAGGGTGGGGCAAAAGCACTTTTTTCCGTCCAGGGGGGGCAAATGCTTAGGTTATATAACATGTTTTTCTATAAGTCTATAACAAGTTTGCATAAGATTTCGCATCTCACTACTTGTAGTGACATCACACTTCATGAATAACATGTAATTTGCGATATAACACGAAAAATGTTATATGACGTTTTTCTTCCTGTTCTTCGAATATGTTTAGTAACCTTGTTCATATAACGTATTATGGTATATATAGTGCAGACGCAGCTTTAGGACGAAGTGGATACCTATCGATGCAAGAGTACGCAGGAGTTTGAATAAGTAATCTTATACTGATAAGGAGTAATTAACGAGGGGAAAACTACCAAGTGTATAATACGCGGCATTAGGGGCCAAAAAAGTTCGACACGTGGGAAGGGATGATCAACTCACTTCAAAACTATAACTCCCTTCTTCGTCGCCGCTCGAAGATCAATGTTGTCCACTCCTGTTCCGGCTCGTCCAACCACGCGAAGGTTAGGGCAACTTTCGAACACCTCGCTGGTCACCTTTGTCTCGGATCGAACGATCAAGGCGTCGTGGTTCTGTAACAGGTAGATATCATAATTGACGAAGAGGTATTATTATTTGCTTCTCACTTGAATATCGGTATTAATAGTCCACTTCGACGTTGGTAGAGTTAAGGTAGCAATTAATAATTATCTCTCTTATTGGTTACTAGATCTCAATCGTGCTCGACACGGTCGGTCGCTAAAGTTTTCATTGCCCTATTCAGTACTGTAGAACACTTCGGGCGTGTTAAGAATAAGTTAGCAGAGGCAGGAAGAGTAGGTGGACGTCGTGGCTCGGTTGGCTAAGGCGCCAGCCGGCTCGAAAGATCCCAGGACACCGCGCAGGTTCGAACCCTGCGTACCCCGCCTCCGCTTTTTCCTTGTGCGTTTAATTCTCATTCCAGGTTTTTAAAAATCTGGAAGACCCTTGTAAAAAAGTTAGTCTGTCAGACATAAATAATAATAAGAGACGGGGAAACAAAATATAAAATAATCATAACTATAAGATAAGGAAAAAAATACTAAAAACCGTAAATAGGAGAAGGAAACAAAATATACGAAAAAACCCATAAGTAGGAGAAGGGAAAAGAATACAAACAAACCATAAAAATAAGAGAAGGGAAAACGAATATAAAAAAACCATAACTGAGAGAAAGGAAAAAAATGTAAAAACAAATTAAAAAAAAGGATCTCGAACAACGAAACAAAAAACTTAATTTCACAATGAATATGCGGTAGTCGAAAGTCGGATTTATACATTTACAGCACACGTGTGTGCGCTTTATCGACAGCAGGAGGAAGACGGATCGTGTCCCACGCGGGTGGGGAGGGAGGAGAGGGGAGATTCTCCAGACGGGCTGAGATAAGTACAACGACCCGGCACTGTGTTAACCGGTATTCGCGCTGGCCGACTGAACCGGCTCGAACCGGTTAGGTCGCTCGAATGCAAGCAATTAACTGATACATGACTGGAGGAGAAGAGGGGAGGGCAGCAGACCAGTTCCGAGAGTGAAATTTGCTGTCGGGGCACCTCCACTGGGGTTGTTTCGGCGTGTCTGAATTCCAACAGAACCCATAATCGTCTAGGAATTCCCCCCACCAAACCGTCCATCAGACAAACAATATTGCATCTTCTGAGTCCTTTATGAATGATATAAATAATGCAGACTGAATTCACAACAGTTGGAAATATAATGAATTTTAGATCATTGATGGGTTAATTATGTACAATTGATAAGTGTGAGTAAATCCTTCGTGGTCCTCCGAATAATTCTGCATTCCAACTGTAATTAGATTTATGAAAATTGATGTCACCGGTAAATGGAACAGAAATCTGCTTCCCTCCGGACCTTGTGGTTAGCGAGATCAATATCTAATGAAATTAGTAGGAGTTCATGCAAATTCATGTCTCCATAAATAAACTCGCAAGACACTGACAATGGTAGCTGAGATTTGTTTACAAATAGGCTGTAGTCGTTTCATGTTCTGGGTTACAAAAACGAAATTCGATCTTGGAATACTAAGTGTACGCAAAAGTGATTCAAGGTTTTGTTTCATCAATGGGACAGATTCGCCAGAAAAAAAATGGCAAAAGTTTACAGAAACAGTAATTGTTCCCTATCATTAAAGATTCTCATGAAAACACCTATACTTTAAACTAGTTAAAAAGGGTCTTCCCGTAAAAATAAATTTACATTATTATTATTATTATTCTGCCCACCTAATATTCGTGAGTTCGAAGCAACTGACCGTGTTATTTAGAAAGTACGTGAAGTCTGCTTAACGCATAACCGTCACACTACCGTGTCTTAGAAAGGGGACCTAATACACATACAGGGTGGTCCAACAGTAACGTAATTCTCTCAATGATCGATCAACCACGTTACTAAAATTCCATTTAACATTCATTCACCACTAACCTGAAGCTCTTTGATCAGCTCTTCCTTGGACAGTTTACTCTTATTCGTGACTGGGACACCATGACTGGCGAGCAGATCGCCGCACGAGGCGTCCACAGGGTCGCTGATGAGAACGCTGCTAATTCTGGCCGACATTGTTATCCTTAAAACGAAAATAAAAGAAAAAAGAAAATCAGATACATGTCCTTGAGAATGTTTACCGTCGTAAGACTAACTCTATCAGGTATTCACCGCGAGAACGAGGGATTAATTTCGTGACGCGTAACCGATCTATAAATATCACCTAGATCGTGAATTCTGTGATACCACTAACATCGACAACCAGATCGACGTTCGAAAATATTCCAAATAGGTGTCTGATTCACAAGATACTCACGAGGTCGACAAATGATTTTAAGAATTGTGTTTCTCAACGACTAACAGCCCCAGTCGTATCAGTTCCACACCGTAATTCACTGTTGGATCGTTGGAGAACGAATAGAAAAATAAGATCGTGAGATCTTGTTACGTAAATAGTCACACACGCACGCGAACAGTTCGGAAAAATCACGAAGGGATATTGGATCCACGGATCGAGAGAGATCTACACGTACCTCGTGGGAATGCTACGTCAGTCGATTGTTCGCGAGGATCCAGCTGGCACTGGGGTGATCGGGCCGATCCAACCGTAAACTGTCTTGTCCCCGTCGATGATTTATCTTCTTATAGCCGGCTCTCCCTCCCCTACTCGAACGCTGCACGTAAATCAGGCCTGGAACGTCGGAGTTTCTTATTCGACGGGCGAAATTTCAGGAAAATTCGTACGACGGTCATTTCCAAGTCGATCGATTAATCGGCCGTTCAATCGATCGTACAGCTGTCGATTGCTAAAGTGAAAAATACTTATTTACACTTTCACAAGATTTCACGATCTCGGGGATTTCTTTTGGTATCTTAAGATTCCGTTCGAGATCTCGAGATTCCGTTCGAGATCGAACGATATCGACCGGTGGACCGCCTAACCTACAAATACGACCAAATCCGATCGAAATACCATACACTACCCGAATGTAGATATTGGAATGCTACTATTTTTCAATAAATAAAATTATCATTTCTGTTGCTATTTTCCGAATGAACTACACCAGAAAAAAACGAAACGGAATAACGCAAGAGACCTATCGCGTTACACTCGGTCAGACCGCAAAATATATTTTCCATTGGCCGGGGTCATACGGGTGACGCAACTTCTGCTGGGGGTCCGATTTAGCAACGAGAATAATTATTACGTTGTTATCACGACGTTTCTCGATTCTTTTTCTTCTTTTTTCTCATGCCTCCCCTTCTCGATAACACATCGTCTACTTTGCTCGAACTTTGGAACGTCGTCCCTAATACCGATAGGTTTCGAATCCGTCTTCTGCGGCTTATCTTACCCCCAGCGGACCGAACTATCTTATATCACGTTGGAAAATAACTTTATCGTGTTGCCTACCGCGCGTTGTTTTTCCCGAAACGATATACCACGCGCAGTTGGTGACACTCTCGATCTCTCCTATTCCAACGCTGCAACTAGTGTTCAAGTATAAATAGTATGTAAACGTTGAATGTATAGTGAATTACATTGTACAATATAGTAATATACAGGGTGTCTTTTTTGAAAACTGAAAACGATGGAACATATCTTCTGAGGAACGGAATATACGAAATAAACATGTTCTTACAAAAGTTGTTGGGGGGGGGGGGGATATTGCGTGGTACAAATAATTTTGTTGTAGCAAGAGAGATTTCAAAGTCGATGAAAATAGATAATTCGTTGCAGTGAAGGAGATTTTAAAGTTGAGTTGATTTTTTAAATTAGAAATTGGGTGAAGTTAATCTTTTCAATAGGATACTATCGATCACAAGTAAAGAAGGATATACAGGGTGATAAAAAAAAGGTTCCGTAAGTTCTAAGACAGCTGGCACTCGCTAAATCATGAAAAAAGAAAATTATTAGATGGGTCGGAAGATCGATATTTTTAAAGGTCAACGAGATGTCGACGGGTACCGGCGTAAGCTGGTTAACAGACGGTGAACCGGTGACCCAGCGTTCGATAACGGGCGAGGGAAACAAGAAACTCGGGCTGATAACCGTTTCTCGGATGATTCTCGATTGGGAAAGAGGGACAACGGTGGAAAGAGGAGAAAAATAACCGGAATCACAGATGATCCGCATAGCCGCGGGTTCTCGGAATGAGAGTACTTGTACACAGTACCTCCGTAAAACACTTTGACCCCGTAATGGCGAAACCCAGTTGTTTACACTGAAAGTGGTGTAAGTCCCATTGTCCCGTGTTCGTCTTTTTGTAATATTCATTCCGTATCTATTCGTAACTGTAAGCGATCGTGTTATCGATCCTCTTTGAAATTCGTGTTGAAAACGATTGCTTGAACATATTGGGTCCGAAAATGATGTTACACAGGGTACTTTTTGGATCTGTGTCGATCATAGAGGAAGAATTTAATCCTGGAAACCACAGTCATCGGTGACCCGGCCAAATTGTGGATCTCCTAGATCAAATACTCAGAAAATCGTTTGTCGGAATTAATTTGTCTCCCTACTAGTTCGGATAATAGACCTCCACCGTGTTCGTAGATATTTCTGACGCGGTGTGTACCGACCAAATCCCAACGATCACTGTAAAACAGCACATTTCCAATGCTATTAATATTAACAAATCGAATATTAATATAACGTTTAATGACGCGGCGTTTGAGTGGTCGTGAATGGACTCCACGATCCAACCGCCCTCCGCGTTGATAAATACGTATCGGCTCGTTATTTAATTTAATTCACCGGAACGTGTGTCTCTGTGTGCACGCCAGCCTCGTGCAACGTCAACGGGAACAACTTCTCGCGCTTTGTTGGCCGTGTTATCAATTCGCTGTCAACTACTATCTCGGCCCGTTTGCCGGACCGACGACGAGGCTCGGGTATCCCCCGGCAAATTAATTGGCTGACGAAAACGGTACAAAATATTACGGAGCGATAACGCGTCCGCGGCGTCGAACCGCTTGCCGTGCGTCAGGGGTCGAACAGGTTGCGTGCATCAAGGAGTTGAAACGGTTGCCGTGCGTCAGGGCCGAAAGGGTTGCCGTGCGTCAGGGGCCGTGAGTACTGTATAACTGCTCCCGGTATTGGAGGTTAGGAATACGGTAACAATGTCTTATTTCACGTGAAATCATATTTGTTCGTTCTGGTTAACCTTTGAGCACCTATGGCTGGGTATGGCCGATATGGGGACTTGGAGATCAGTGCAGGAATATGACAGAAGTATGTGATTTTACCTGTAATCATAATTTTCGTTTTGGTTAATCTCTCGAGTACCTATGACTGAGTCATTGGCGATCCATCCATTTTAGTTAGGTCGTTTCGTGTGTCAGAAAGGCATTTCAATTGGTGGCATAAATAAATATTTGGGAGAATCGATGCTGAACAGGCGACCTTCGTAAATTAACGCGCCGAAATTAGCATCTAAATCACAGAAAATGTCGGCCAGTGGAGAGTACAAATTGCTGCACACCAGGGAACTAACACGCCTTGCAAGACTCATAACGGTCGTTTGCGGAGGATTGGGCATTTGCGTCGATGGAGTATCCCCAATTGTGAACGGCCATTGGGATCGACATCGATTTCTGGCAAAACGGTGCCGATCGTAGCGGAAAGAGGACGGGGAACGATATTCTCGTTAAAGTGCAGCTGTGTTCCGCGGGGAGGGCAACGGTAACAAAGCGATTCCCGCGGACGATGTTGTTCCGCGAGTATCGGGATTGCCGTTTGATCCACGCGCCTGTTAAACGCTCCAATCAGGGGCAACGTTGCGTGCACCGTCCGGGGCGAACGTTGCAGGTATTACCCTCACTCGTTTCCGGTTAATTCCGTGAGCCAGTTTGAACTCGCGATCAGTTATGAAATTTATATTTTTCGAAAACCCAGTACTGGCAACTCTCGTATAACGCGATGGCTAGATTCATAAAAATGACTATTTTATTGGAATTAATATTATACGAAACTGAGAACTAGGATGTCCTATAGATACAGAACGTAGGGTTAGGTTCCGAAAAATTACCGTTTTTTAGGAATTCGTGTTATACGAATCCGAGAACTAATATGTACAATAGAAACAAAAAGTAGGGTTAGGTTGAGAAAAATTTAGATTTTCTGCGAAACCAATAATGAATTAATCCAAAGAGAAATCATTTGCTAGGTTCCAATAAACTAACCTGTAATTATTTTGACATGAGTTCTAGCCAAATAAGATGATGTATTATTAAACTAATGATTTTTAAACTATTTTATATAAATCTGCTGTGTCAGAGTGAAATCGTATTATACGAGGGTGGGCCTGTACTCCAATAAATAATTTAAAAATTCAAATTTTTTTTTACATTTCCAGATCTTCAGAAGATTTTGACAGAATTGTGGCTACTTAAGGACTATAGGTTACCGTAAAAGTTCACGAAAATGCGGATGCATTTGAACGAAGACAAGGTCATTTTATCTAACAAATGTCCGCGATACTCTTCGATACCGCTCTTGTATGTGATCCGTTGTCGGAGCGAGATTTCCCGTATCACTGAATACGAGCCTCGCAATAAATACTTCCGGTACCATGTCACCGTGGAGTAATGCGACGCCGTTTGCGCTCTGGAACAATAGGGGGAGGGGTTAGAACGTATTACCTTCGCGATCCTTCTTTTCCAGCTAACGCCAGCACCAGTATCATCCAAAAAAGGGGTAGTTCCGTGGCGAAGTTATTTGTACCGGTGCCAAATGTCCGCACAGAGCGATATTAATGGGAGTCCCTTGTCATCGGGGACTCAACACCCGAGAATTACCGTCTAGATTCTCGCCAAATTGCATAAACAGCCAGAGAAGTCTTCAGAGCTTGTATTCTGCGGTACAAATCTGGGTCTATATACACGGTGTCTCATATAAGAACGTCATCTATACTGGTGATAAAATGGCATGCAAGAATGTTCAATGGAATAATCACTTAGGAACAGTTTTAGAGGTCTATAGTTTTCAATATGGCCGCCATGTTGGTAGTTCACAGTGCCACCGCTGGACAAGTGACGCCTCCTCAAGAACATCCAATTCAATTTCATGTAATATTATGACGATAGTTTTTAAGTTAGGCACAGAAACAAAGTGCACTCATTAAGAATCTCCAATTCAGTACCAGGCAATGTCATGACAATTGTCTTCAAAACTATTCACAGAAAGAAACTGAAAGGCCCCAATGATGCCCAAAAACACAGTGGAACTGATTTCTCTGTCACCAATTCATCGTTTTCACTGACTGAACTACGTTATCTCCGTTTCAGCGCAAGACTCTATCCCCGAAACATCTGGTCGACACCTCTCAACCGTCAGGTCGGATCAAAGGATCTTCTCGCAGATGGACTGTCTAGCGATCGACCTGCCTCCTCTCGGACTTTCTCGAATGGAGTTGAGCCTGGTTATCGAGCTGTGCGGATGGTTCGCGTTCAGACCGTTTTCGTGACGGGTCTGAGTTTCCCTGGTGCAGCCCATCGCCAGGCTGACCCTTCGTCCACTCGATCCCCCGCAGAACAGAAGCTCCTTGATCCCTTTCTGGAAGTTACGGGACAGGAAGGCGTACAGCAATGGGTTCAGACAGGAGTTGGTGTACGAGATCAGGAACGTGGACAGGGTGAGCATAGTGCTGAAGTCCGAGGTCCTGTCGTAGTTCGAGTCCCAGTGCCTCCAGACGATCCTCGCCTGCTGTGGCAGGTTGCAGACCGCAAACATCATCACCACCGCTATCAACATCCTGGAAATCGATCAAAGGGAAGCCTCGACGTAGTTAAGTCGACGATTTATATGTATTTGCCCAGCAGAGGGTAGCAAATATAGCTGGGCAAATACTTGTTAGCAACTTGGGGGGATCTAAGCTGTTGGTACACGTTTCTGGTATCTCTGTTGATAATTTGCGTGGTAATGAATCTAACGACTTTTAGGTAAGGATTGTAGATGTACTGGTGCTCGAGCTGAACGACAATGACCGTTTGCTCAGTCGAGCATTCCGTTTAGTACCTTATTAAGGGATCAAATTACGAGCAAAAAGTCCATCATGCCTAACTATTAGAACGTAATTGTTGAGTATTTAAAACAAGGTAGAGATTTGAATAAATTGTCTGGTATACAGTACCTGATGACGCCCCGTCTGGCTTTCAGGACGTTTCTACTGGACCCATGGACGTGATGTGTCCTACCATTTGTGGCCCTGGGCATCAGACCAGGTGCAGCCAGGGCGGCGCCGCTCCTCCACAGGCCAACAGCGATCCTCGAGTAGAGACAGGTCATCAGAGCCAGTGGGACGAGGTAGAGGAAGATCAGGTTCACAGCGTCCAGGACTTTGTTGTTGTGTTTCTTGATATTCGCCATGCAGATGATGTCCACGTCCCCTGTGATCAGTCGGTTGCTAAATGTCTCGACGTAGAAGAATCTTGGAGAGGCATATACGGCGGCCATCAGCCAGACCAGGCCGACCACCAGCCTCAGACGACCTCTGGTCAGAACTGATCTGCATTTTATCGGATAGACGATCGCCAGATACCGTTCGACGCAAACCAACACCAGGATCAAGACACTGGCCGTGTAGGATAGGGCCTGGACGAACATGTAAACCTTGCAGAGGAAGTTGCCCAGCTGCCAGCTGGTCAGGTAGTTGGTCAGGGTCTGATAGACGCAGAAGACCGCCACACACAGGTCCGCCACAGCTAGGTTCGCCAGGAAGAAGTTGGTGATGCCGCGCAGACGTCTAGAGAAGCTCACCACGAAGATTACCATTAGATTTCCTGAAACAATCATCGAGGTTTATGTGTTGTTATGATGTTCTTTTTGTGTGATTTCTGGAGGATTGTGGCGTGTCCAGTTTCAACTGAAATCGCGTCGATCCTTTTTGCGCGAAACTGGAAGCGGTTGGCTGTCCTAAAGCTGGCTGTCGCTGAGAAAAGTTTAGCGTTCCTATGTGTCCCACGACGGAATTCCCTTGAAACCTGACCATTTGGTTTTATCGATCGTTTTGCGGGTGTATGGACGACGCGTTGGAATGGACTAGCTCTGGAATACTTAGTGATTTTCTTTCGAGAGAGGGTCCAGGATCCTCTTCAGGGAGTCTCAGGACTTTCCGATCTTGTCGAGGGAACGATGAATCGATTCCTATGTAGAACTTTGTCGATCGAGTCGATCAGTGATGAATTTATCTACTATTCCCAAAAGATCACAAAAGGTTCTAAAAGATCCTAAAAGATCTTAAAAGATTCTAAAAACAATCCTATACAAATTTACTAATTATCCCAAATATATGGTCTTCTAGACTACCTAAAGTTTGCTACTTCATAGTGGATAGAACTACTTTCGTAGGCTACCCGAAGTTCATCAAAGTGGGTGAGACTAGTCATCCTAATTACGGAGGCTCACTTCGAAATAATTAAACATTTGCATGTTCTACTCGGATAGATCCTGTACAGATTACCTTAATTAGAGGAAGCAGATGCGCATGGAGTTTAAGTAGAAGAGAATATTAACGGGAAAGCGTCTTGTGTTCCCACGTTTTTTAGCGATGCTCTAATGGAAGCCCCAGTAAATTGGTAACCCTTAAAAAGATGCTGAAAGGTTAGGGATCCGTCACGTGACCTTCGCTTCATAATTTCCTTTGATTAGTTTGGACTATATTTAGATCCATTTCTGTCATTTTTAGCCATATTGGCTACTCTCTAGATATTTTTTATTCTCCATGAACATCTTAGACCATTATTGACATCCTATTTACCATTTTTGGTGTCACGTGACCTATTGTTCCTAACCTCCTTCGGTCAATGTGGACCATATTTAGCCCCCTTTCTGACTGCTTCTGGTCACGTTAACTCCCTCGGATATTTTTTACAAATATTATTTTATATAAAACACAGATTTATTATGCCAATTTCCCTAAATTGTCCTACATAAAGGACGAGAATCCTTTTAAAATACCGTCGCCGGGAAGTGACGCAACGTCGATGTTCCATGCCAGAGACGAATACGTGTATGAATATAATCGACGACACATGCAGAACGTGTATCGGCGCGTTTAAAACTGTCGTCGAGGTACGCTGCATTTGCGTGTTTCCCGACGAATCGATGTTCTGGATATATTCCAAGAACCGGCTTCGAGCGATTCCTTTTTCCACGCGAGCAAAACACGGTATATAGTCGGGATCGTATTTCATCGACGGGATTCCTCTTATGCACTTTTCTTTCACCGTCAACGCACGGATTGTGGCCACACACACGCGACCAAATATAGAGGGTGTAAAAAACGTAACATATGATCAAACTAAAATAACATAGTGAACCTACACACTTGGATCGGGGGACATTTGTAAACAGAACTGGTCGCAAAATTGTTTATAACACTGGAAATTAATGTTTAATTCTTGTTTTGTAATCAGATAATTTAAAACCATTATTATGAACATAAATGCAATTGTATGGATCGTTGACCTAAATAGAAATGAAGTTTGATTTTGTGAAGAGATAGTGGATTACTTATTGGTACACCCAGTATGCATGTACGAATAATAATAATGATGAAGTCGTTACATAAAAATATCGAACTTCAACTCATGGTCCTGTTCGAACTTTTTGGTGAATCAATCTATTTTTTCGTATAATTTTGTCAGTGATATTCGATCGTTCGATTTTGGATCACCCTGTATATGGACAGGTAACATGCGCGTATCCGTCGGAATTTTCCTAGTCGACGCGTTTTACTGGATTTCCATAAGTTAAGTCACCGTTTCGCACGTCTTCTTTTCCCGTTTATCCGACGGTGCAACTTTTTTTACAAGGTCGAATCCGAACGCCTTCGCAGTCTTGAATACCGATAATCAAGAGTTCGTACGCGTTCCACTCGAACTACCGATCGTACGACGAAACTTTAAAGAAAAGTAGCTGCACGTTTTGCCTGACGTGTGTACGTGAACCATGAGAAATTCTTCCAAATTTTATGCACTTTTCTGGAGTACTATACATACATATCGACCATTGGGTCGGTTGTGACCCATGTTAAGATTTGTTCAGTGGTAAACATAAAAATCATATGTACATACCAAGAATCTTTCAATTATCTACAACATTTCGTAGTGGGCGGGGCAAGTCCCCCTGGTGGCGGAACGGTACCGCCCACTATCCTGTCATGCACTGATTTCGTTCGATTATTTTATTGATTTACAATATATATTCAAGGAACGTATTTCTAAGTTCAGAACAGAACACTGCAGAGCCTTATTGTATAACAGAATTCCCAATTAAAATGAATCTACTGTGATCATAATACTAGTTACAATTTTTCACGACCAGTTACAAATGTGGAGAGCTACAACAATTTTCACTCAAGCTGATGGGTGAGTCTTTGTACAGTCTTTAGGTCAGAACTATTCCCATTTAAGTTTCTTTCTATCTAGGCAAAAAATATTCAATTTCCCTAATCCCATCTGAATGTCACCCAACCTCAATCTACGTAATAATTACTCGAACAGTAGCACGAAATGAAAATTTCCGTGTGGGAGGAGTAACCTCGACCAATGGTCAACCACCAGGTCTAATGACACCACTCACGTGGGCGGAGTCACAATTCGCCCCGCCTCCCAAATCCATTTCAATTCCGTACATTCGACGGTACAGCCACAGAACAGTAATGAGACACAATATCACCGAAAATGGCTGCTAATAAAACCCGAGCAAATTCTATTTAGAATCGATGTCATCCTAAGAAACCGAAGGTTCCTGCGCACAGTTCAACCAACATACCAATCGACAACACGCTAAAACCTCAGATTACTGTGGCCGTCTCCGTCCTAATCCCAACTAGGATTTCAGTGTCCCTTATTTTCAACGAAAATCCTTCGTCTCGTATCCCCCCGTATAACGATTCTGTTCGTTCCTCCATTCTCTTGAATTATATACCTACATATGTACAGGTACCGTACTTTAATTTGGGGACGGTTTCGTCGTCACGTGGGTAAACTCTTTACCCGGTTCAGGAAAATGAGATTACAGTGACTCGAAGGGGAAGGGGGGTGTGTGGTGTGGGGCAGAACTGGTCGACGAAGGAAATGCGTCGAGTGACGACGGGAGAGCTTAAAGTGCGACAAGAATGGTATATCCGCGGTCGAATTGGATTCTATTAAAACGTGTTCGAATGGGTGGGAGGGGGGGAAGGTGGGCGGAGGGAAGGCAGAGGGGGGAGTGGCGAGGGGCTGGGAGACGGATGAACTGGAGAAGGGGGCGGAGGGGGAGCAGTGGGTGGTGGAAGGGCGGAGGAGGGGGGAGTGGCGCGCTCCCAGCCCCGCCCTTCGTATTTTATGCTTTTGTTCTGGTGTCGCGCCCGGAGGTTTAATGAATTTTGGTCGCGGATCGAGGCTCCTTGGCACAGTTATATTACGATTAGAGAGATTAAAACGAAAGTCGACGGAAACCGAGCCCCGCCCACCAACGTCGCGTCAAACTTCACGCGTTTCGCGGGTAAAACTTTGTCGCAACCTTCGACGAGGCGCCTGTGATTGTAAATGTTAAACGAATGGAAATTTAATTTCTTGGCCCGCGAGACGGCACGGAGTTTCCCTCGATTTCCGAGGCATTGTGAATCGAAGCTGGTTTAATTATTTCGTTTGATACACACACACCTTCGTCCGTTGGATGAAGTTCTTGGCTGGGGGGAAAAAGTTTTTGTCGAATTGATGCGGTGTATTCAGGATGATGAACTCGGAAATTGGATTCTAGACGCGGGTTTTTGTACGTAGGAAAATTTTGTATCGATTGGCCGACCAAGTCTACGGATAGATTGTACTTGTCTGATTGCGTTCTGATCTGTGCTACTTGTCTTACTTTCCAAGGAACTGTTCTACTTCTATAACCACACCTGAGTCTATTCTACTTATATGGCTAAAGGTTGCTCTATTCTACTTCTGTCATCCGATGAGGGTATATTCTACTTGTCTGACTATGCGTTGGTATATCTACTTATATGACAAGACGTTGGTTTTATTCTACTTGGATGACCACACGTTGGTCTATTCTACTTATATGACTAAAGGTTCATCTATTCTACTTGTCTGACTACATTGGGGTCCATTCTTTTTTGTTTGCTATGGACGTAGCAGTTAAGCCCTTCCCACTTTGGGCTGAGTTTCCCCTTGCACTCTGAGAGACTCTTTCCACTTGTATCAAGTCGCTCTGTTTGACAACTGCAAGGTTGAATTCAGTAGATGATATTTTTTATACAAGATTCTATTCATCGAATTGTCTTCCATTATACCTTTAATACTTTCCTACTCGATTTTTCAATTTTGCTTCCGATTCCATCCCCACTGTTCCTCTATCTAATTCGATCTTTGCTTCCGCTTCTGCATTGTGTTAATCGTCTCTTCCTGATCCATTTTTCTCTTCCCCCTCTCTATCCATTCTCATTTATCTCATCCCTTAATTACCCCGCTTCCCCCGTCGCGAAACTTATCCATTTACATAAAATTCCTTTAGTCCTTAGAAAGTTTTAACGAATGGACTTCGTTCCCGCGAACGTTTTCTTAGGTCGTAGGCAAAGTTACCGTTACCACCGTGGTAGTGAATAAATCGACGTTCCACCGTGTTAAGAGCTTCTGGATCAATTAATTAGAACCCTTTATTATGTACTTAACGCAACACCCAACGCAGCAGGGGGGATTAATGGGTCCCTACGATCCAACGAACTACAGCCAAGAGTGTGTTAATACATTATTAAATCACCTCAGATCGTTATTATTCATTATTCCTACTTGAATCCATAATGTCTTACGGTGTAAAACATAACCTATAATGATATATAACACAAACCGTTCAACATAACCTATAATGATAAACAAACTGTTCAACATTACCCATAATAAAATATAACACAAGGTGTTTAACATAACATATAATTATGTATACTATAAGGTCTCAAAGATAACCTATAATAATTCACAACACAAGGTATTAATCATAATCAATGACATAGCTGTTTTTCCATCCATATTCCGACAATACGAAAATTCTGTTCAAAATTTGCATAATCCTATGCAATTCCTGATACCAGTCAGATTTAGTAGTGGTTCAACTCTGTTCGTTTCACTCCGATTGTTCACGAACGTGTATCCGCGGGATCGTGCGCCCCTCTCGATCGACGTTCTAATTGAATTTTCATACAGGCCCGTCGCGCACGTTCGCCACGAGAGGCGAAATTTAATCTACAAGACAATTTTCCAGGGACGTCGAGGAACGCTTTATCGCTTGTATTTTGCTTGCACTAATACATCCCCCTGCATTCAAAACAGCACAGGCGGCGGTATTTTATTGCCTCCGGTGGCATCAATGAACCGTCCTGATCCTCTGCACGTTGCTTATTAAACACTAGAGTAATACAAGCAAATCCGTAAAAATGACAAATTTTTGCGTTTTACATTAATTACTGAAACCATAAAATTTGCATTTTCTTTCGAATTTTGCGTTGAATTCTAGTTAAATACCTAGATACCTTCTAGTTAGATCTTAAATAAATTTAACAAGAAAACAATGTTTAAATGTACAACACTATAGAATTTCATTTAATATACACTCAACGTTGGTACTTCTATTCATTTCATTTCTTTTTTCTTTTCTCGATTTTTTTTCAAAGAGATGCAAACGTTCGCCGGATACGCAAGGGACGGACAAACAATTCCGAGAAACGAACGCAAAAGTTTACACGTGGGAGAACAGAGGAAAAAAATGCAATCTCGTGACGACGGAACAATTGTGTCGTATCGGGCACGAAATTCGAAACAAACGAGAACACGCGGGTTGCGTGTACATGACGTGTAGATTGAAACACGATTGGGAACAATTTTTTACGGGTTTATACACCGATTTTTTCTTTTTGGAAACCGATGTTTATTCGTGTTATCGCGGAGCTGATCGGGACAATATGATCGGGTTGAAAATTCCGTAAGCTTTGCCGAAGTCGTTTTGTTTACTTTGATTATTCGAATGTCCGATAGAGAGAGTAAAAATTCGCTGTTTATTGACACAATAGGTTCCATTGTTTGTTACGGAATAATTGTTATCGTTATTGTTGTATTTGCACGATGCTGATAGAAAAATCTACGCGTGTGCAATTATAAACAAGGAGGAAAAGAGGGAAGAAGTTAGGAAAAGAAGAAGAAAGAATCTAAAAATTGAAAGATCCGTGTGTATAACGAGAATAATTGCTATCATTGTAAATAAGCGTATTGAACATTTTTGAACAAAATTGAGAAAGACGAATAGGTTACGGATGCTTTCAGGCACAGATTCATGGCGCAGCTGATCGGTCGATAAAGCAGGTGGGCGCAATTAATACGGCTCTGTCGGTAACACGCGGACCCAAGTTCGGGACAATAATCGAGAAGAGTCTGTACTTTGTTGTTCCTCTGATTTTCTTGCCGAGGCTCGGGCTTCGGACAAAAAACCAATATACGAGGGTCTGAAACGTTTCTCCCTATACGATTATTGTCCCAGTACGTACTCGAGTTCGGGACAATAATCGAGACTAGTCTGTATCTTTAATATCGACTCACCGAAGAAGCAGCAGATAAAGACGATGGTGTAGAGGGTGATGAAGATCACTTTCACGTCTGTTCTGTCGAAAATATAATCCTCGATCACGGACACGTTCTGCAAGAGACTTTCGTTCCGTATGGCGGTCTCGTTGTCGCGGATCTGGTAGAGGATCGCGTCGCGGTGCTCGATCATTCTGAAACAAATCGAGAACTTTACTTTACCACGTTCTTTCTCGAACTTCCTCCTAACTCGTGAAAATATCGAGTCTTTCAGAAACTTTTTCGCGCACATTCCCAGATATTAGTTATACTATATCCAAGTTACAACATACTCCAAAAAATGTCCGAATTCCCATGGAATAACCATGTACACATACTTTCAAAGAACGACAGTTAATCGTTAATTACAATTTCTCTAATTAGATTACGATCGAATAGAATTTCCGATCGGTGAATATTCAGTTTTGTTCCCTTTCCATTCGATCATTCTGCGTCCAGGGACGACCATCGAAGTTGAATCAAACAGATTTGGAGAAGGGGAGGGGGGGGGGGGGGGGGGGATGCTTCGTTGCCCTCCGCATAATCTCTCCGCTAATATGGTCGACGTCCATTCCTTCTATTTTTTTCTCTTCGTTTTCTGCATACGGTGATGCGTTCTCGATTTTTTTCTTTGATGTAATCCCACGGTTACGGGGAACCATCGGGACAGATAGGGCGTCGCAACTTCGCGAATATCAGAGTCCTTCGGGGCAGCTACTAGTTTCAATTGAGGACCCATGACGATTAGTCAATATTGATCAGGTCATTGATCATGGATGTAACCAATATGGCCGATTGTATACAGAGGATACGTTGAATTAGTCGTGTCAAGGTCTATAAGCTTCACCTGGCCCGACTAATGAACTTATACAGAAGGAACGCTTCAACTTTACAATTTAAATTATTTAAAATATTACAATACAGTCAACGCTGCACCGGGTCAGCTTTTTTCCCGATCTTTGTCACAGGACCTCCAGGATATCGATTCAGCCGACTATACACAAAGCGTGACGGAATTCCTATGAGAACAACAGAAAAGCTTACGAAATCGATTTCAGTCGGTTTACACGACCTCCGAACGTCAGATCATTTGCCTTTGAAATTCATCGGTCAGGAACGTGCCGTCGCGCGGGTTTCGATTGGTGGTCGGCTCGTTGGAAAAATTAGTCGAGTGCCATCCCTGTTCCGACCAATTGAACCGCATAATTATCGTCGACTCGCGTGAACGGGCACGGAGAGGGAAGGAGAGCCCCCGTCTTCGCCCATCAATCGTGGGGACGATGTACGGCATCACGCTCGGAAACATTCAAATCAGCGGTTGGCCACGAGTGGCCCATCTTACACGCACGATGTATCACAATGATTTGCGTTTGTCCGTTTATGCTCTTAATTCTGAACAATAGGTTGCGATTTACAATCTACTTGGACCATTGTGAACGACCCTCCATCGTTTTTAACGCGCCTTAGCACGGCTATATTACACACAACCGTTCTGGAAGTATTAGGACACCCGTTATGTAACATAAAAATTTTAATAAATAATTAGAAATTAGTAGGGGAACTTTTGTTACCTCATGGTAGAGTAAAACATTGTCCATCGAGCTTCAATATTCCCTGAACGATATTTATTTCAGACGGTTAGCAATTTTGGAATACAGTAGACTCCCGATAATTGCCTGCTGGATAAATATCAGTAGGAATACTGCGTGCTCACGTCTTCCCTAGGACATTGACTTCTATAGCCAATTATTGTCTGTCGATCGAGCTTTGAGGAGATCCTTTACTATTGGCTCTCCATAATTACCCGTTTCCTAGAACCGCCCGTGTCTAGGGCCCCAAATTCGGGTAAGTATCGCGAGTCTACTGTATCTTGTCTCATTTATTGACCAGACTCTTTTATTCCTAGGAGAATAGCAAATGTTTAACCGATTTCAACGTTCTTTAACGTACGACTGAAGGTCATTCGAGAATAAATAAAGAAGTAAAATATATAGTTTTGCATAGTTCATTAATTGTACCATATCTTCAGACGATTTTATTTTTTTCAAATGTCAGTGTACATTGAATAAAATGTTGAATTTCTTTCAAATAGGCAGTTTTGTGAATTTCACCTGTATTTCGAGTGTACATTGGAAACCCTAGTTTATTGCATAATAAGATCGTGATTCGTGCTGTTATCGGGGGCCATCAGCCTACAGGAGTCACGACGAGCTTTCGCGAGTGCCTTGATATAATCTTATCGCTCCTACAAGTTAGTTCATCTGTGACGATCGACGATCCGGTATACTGGAATCTCAGCAATATCATTCCATTGCGATAATCACGTGAATTTTGTTACTGGGTTATTGGAACGAAAAATGTAATTTCTTGAAGTTTATCGTTCTATTAGCTGTACCGATAAGTGATCCACTGTGTATTGTCAATTCTGTTTCGGCGATATTTAGCTCCGTTCTTAGAAGTTTCGATGAAATTTCGAATTTCTATGGATTTCCTTTCGTCGCCTGGTGTAATATACGTTCAATAAAGGGGCAATGTTTTGTGCATTTCCAGAAACTATGGGTAAATGAAAGACAATACTAAAACTTTTACGGAGATAATAAACTTCCGTACCAGCTGAAATTACCTCGCAGAAATTCGAATTTGCATGACAGTCAGAGGATTCGTTAATTAATCGAAACTGCGGCCGTTGGAACTTGGCCGAGAACTTTTTCATTTCGATCAATTTTTCGATCGGCTTTTTTTCTCACGTGCGTTACACGTCAAAACGTTAATCGCCGTTCGTACGGTTCGCGCGTCAGCAAAACGGGTTCGGTTAAATTAAATCGTGATTACGAAACCTATGCTGTCGATAAAAATACCAAGCGCAGAATATCCTCGATCTGATATAAGCAACAAGCTAGCGGTTTGGTATCGCCGAATTTCCAAGGTCGGACCGATAACTCTCGAATGATAATCGATTGCCGTATTAACATGCTCGAACACAGACGAATTTCTTGGGTCATCTGACGATCATTGACGATCGATTATCGATTTATCTGTCACGTATGAAGTTCATCGTGCGATGTAAGCTCACGCTAAAGGATAGTTTCCAGTTTATTAGACACAAATTGTTTCGATGTTGATACCCTCGACGTCCACTTTGATCGTTTCTGTCGTATACGTAACCTAATCTTTGGTACTTGACACTAATTACTAGAATCTCGAAAAAGTGAAGATGCATAGAGATTTATCTATGGAATCTCAATTTTTGATTGACAGATCGATCACTACCTCTCTGTAGATGTATCAGTCTCGACTGACGACGCGATTATAGCGAGTGGCGGTTCCGATTTTGCGATTGCTTCATTGGTCGGTTGAATTGACTCAAGCCCCGCCTACTGACTCAAACCCCGCCTACTGACGCAAGCTCCGCCTACTGACTAAGCTGCGCCTATTAACGAAAGATCCACCTACTGACGCAAAATCCGCCTACTGACGTAAGCCCCGACTACTTATCCAAGCTCCGCCTACTAAAGAACGTTCCGCCTACCGACCAAGCTCCGCCTACTGACGCAAGATTCACCTACTTAGTATGCATCAATATAGTGGGGATTGCGGAGCAGTTATAACGAGATAGACGAAACACGTTTCCAAAGAAGAAACACATTGACTAACTCGATATAACCATCAACTGAGTGGTCCAAGTTACCTTCAGAACTTAATATTCACTAAATTTGAAGTGAGTTAGGTTGAGGGTAGACTAACTTTAGAACGTAGTTTTCAATAAATGTGAATTGAGTTACGATGAGGGTAGGCTTATAACGAGCATGAAAAGGCGATTATAGCGAGAGGGTGTCGTAGATTGGCACATTATTATGACACAATAATATACATAATATTTTATATAATTATTTATGGTCATGTATAAATATTTATCGTATAATAAAATAATTTCTTTATCGTTGATCTACAACTTTCCTATACTCGGAGTTACGTAGTAGTGCTCTAGAACGAGATTAGAGTTTATCGAATGAAAAATCGAAAGATGCCTTATCTCGACAAGGGAGAGCAACGGGAGTAATCACATTTTAATCATTCGTCAGTCGGGGAGTGCACTTTTTCCACCGGATTCCCTCTCAACAATGGGTACTCCTCTCGATCGAGAGTTCGCGAAACAAGTCGTAAATTCTCTTTGTAATTTCAATAGAAATCCCGTGTCCCGAAGATGGAACGTTGGACGCAAAAGAAACCGTCTGTCCCTGAGGGGGCGGAACTGAATCTTTTAATCTGAACAGCAAAACCGTTGCCCAGATGTGTTTTTCGCGTCGACAAATAAATCCTCCCGGATAAATATAAAATTCGTGGAATATTCATCAAAATTTATTATTGATATGGAACATACTTATTTAGTCAGTGGGATCCGCTTACGGATCACGAAAAACGATACATTTACGTGAGCCACACTGTTCCATCCACCCCAAGTAATAAAATTACGTGAAAATAATATATACTCCCATTTTGTGGGCGCGTGTGCTGCAAATACGACGACCAATTGGAAACTAATTCCCTGTGTTCATAGCCAGATCTGCGAATCGTATGCGTTCCAAATGGTTTTAACGATGATACAACACGGCGAAACAGAAACAAGAATGATAAAGTTTCGTACAGAGAAAATTTATCGAATGAGATTCTGAGAAAAGTGAATTTGCGTGAATATTCTATTTATAGCACCGACGTCATCCATTACTCCCTGACTAATTTGATTAATTGTATACTATTGGATCAACCACCCGGTAATTAATATTCAATGGTATACGTTTTGAATGTCATTACGGTCATATTTGTTCATCTGTCGGTAATATTCAATATGATGGCGTTTGGATGGTATTCAAAATCAGATTTGCTATTTCGCTACTTTCCTCGTTGACGACGAAAGAAAATGATATTTCCTCGTTAGGGTCTCCCTTTCAGCCTCGACTCTATCCAGCCCTGTATAAATAAATTAACCGAGGATGCTCAAGTCTACTTACATGGACGTTTCTTCGTTAAGAGTACCGTCTTCTGCGGCGGGCATCTCGTCAATTCTACTCCCACGGCTTACCCTTGCGGCGGTCGCGTGGAAACGTCGTGGATACCGTTAAAAGTGACGGTTCCCTTTACCCGTTGACCAGCTTTGCATTTTCCTTGATGTAGCGATGTCACTCAGGATGCACTCTATTATATTTGTCTTGTTTATTTTGCTTACACCAGGCGACTCAGACGAAACAGATACTCGACATACCCGACATACCGGATCCTTCAATTCACCCGTCTGTGTTCTAAATATTATTTATGTTTCACAGTCTAGACGCATACTTCATAAACACGTACTCGATGTACCCGACATACCCGACATACCTGACATACCTGACATACCAGATCCTTCGATTCACTTGTATGTATTCTAAATATTGTTCATGTTTCACAGTCTAGACGCATACTTTATAAACACGTAATCGATGTACCCGACGTACCCGATCCTTCAATTCACCCGTCTGTGATCCAAATATTATTCTTCGTGCACGGTCTACACAGATATTTCGTACGCTGGATTTATCGTATGGATCCTATGGCCGAGTCACCGGTGACTCATCGACGAACACACTCAACTGGAGTCTCCCTAGATTTTTCCTATGTATACGTGCGATCTTGTTACGAGTCAAGATTGACCCACCCATCGGTATCGACAATTTATACTTTTTTTTTTTCACTTTCGACGCGCAGATAGAGATTTTTGTACGTTGATTAAGAAACACTGGGACCGAACACGTATACGGGCACTCGGTCCACGACGAACGGATAGTTAGACGGTTACTTTGGATGGAACTTCGTCGCTCGGTTCACCGAGACTGATTTGCAATTTTAATTTCCCTGGTCTCTCTACAACTCATCCATGGCAAGTCATGTTGAAATTTTGATCGTTGTTTGCACTGCGTCTACGGTACCGTACATCTTTCGAAAGTCGTCTGGATCCCTATATTCACGACACCCTATAGAATTTAGGTATCATAAAGCATTAAATTTTGGTTCCATTCTAAAGAAAGTATCTTAAACTTTGTTAAATACCTTCCAACAAACAAAATCTAGGCAACCCTGATTGTACTTGAAATAATTTCAAACAATATTTTTTAAAAGATTCTAATTTTTTGCAAAAATCGTGAGAAAATCGAGTCGGTAATTATACAAAAGATGACAAGGAAGAAAAAAACAAATTAATCGACAGGTATGATCGAGCGTGTCTATCCGAGGATTGATGGATCGTATCGGCCCCTTCCTTCGAACGGTAGATCAAGGACGGCGACGGGAGGAGCGGACGGAACGGCGAACATGCCGTCTCGCGCGGTACTGAGAGCTTCGAGGGTTTCATTCATGGCCGTTGGCCCGCGGATCTGACCGAAACGGCCCGGGGTTTTCGCGCAGGCGTTACATCCGTTTCCTGATGGTCCCTTCTTGATCCTTCCTTTGTCCACAACGATTACATTTCGTTTCGAAAATCTATCCCATCCCCCCTCCCCAATATACCAGGGCAATGAACAACAAAGGTGCACTCACTTCACGGATCCATTATGGCCCTTTGATCTGGACGAAATTGTTCGCGCGATACGGATCGTCGAGTGAATTTCTTTTGGGAGGTACGATCTTGTTGATAGAACGTGATCACACAGAGTCACTTTAATCCTATCGTTTCTACCGTGTACATATGGATACGTGTATTAAATCGCGAAGGAAAATGTTGCTAGGCGCACAGACAAGTAGGCCCCACTATTTCTTCGAAGCTTATTTGAAAAATATCTATTTATTTATGAGTAGATGTTTATGCAAATGTCTGATGTTTATGCAAATCTTCGTGCACTAATTCTGCAAGTCCTAGAATCGAAATTCACTAACTGTGGTAAAAGTTTTATGAAGTTCTGAACGAGTTAAAAATTCCATTAAACTTTCTTCTACGGAATTTTAGACACTCGAATATGCTAGAAATTTATAAAATCCGTGGTCTATTTATAACATCTCTTAAATTGAAAGTATTTTTTTGATTTTTCAGTGAGGATAAATGGTGTAGGATGTTGAAAAATTATTGTATAGCGGAACGTAACATAGAAACGATTATTGATTTTGTTAAGAAATAATGGATGACTTGTTAGTACACTTTAACCCTTCCGTTTCCACTGTAGCTACACGGTCATGGATTTCAAAATAAAATATTGGTATCACGTATACAAACAGTGAGTCGTTCGGAAACTTCGTTCAAATTCAAGCACAGTGTCTTCGTTATTTACTGGACGATGGAAAAATCGTTTGATCTTATTATGTACTATTTACGAGATATAGAATGTGTTTGCTACGGAAGTTACTCCTTTTTTTTTATATTTCTGCTAGACATACCGACGAAAGGTATTAACAGGCACAAAGTCCATTTGCAGTACGTTCCAGCGAACTAAAAAAATTACGCCCACTTCAATTGAAAAATTTGTAGCACCCTGGTAGCACAAAATATTCAATACATATTCATCCGATATAAAAAGCAAATTCAATCTCTTTTTAATAATTGAATATACATACACTGTTTATTTCATATCACGAGAAAAACATTTTTTTCCCAATATAGACAACATATTTATTTAATATTAGAAACAAAATATTCTTTTCCAAATATAGAACAAATATTCATTTTTACATTGAAAACAAAAGAAATTTCTTCCGAATACACAACTATTTATATTTTGTATTAAAGGTATACCTGATTAATTTGTCTTTGCCTCATCACATCATTCACCATATAACTACACATTACAATATTATACACTTCACTACATCACTATACTATACACTATATTTAACCTACATATCATGACATTGTACGTAACGCAATATCCTTTAAGCATGCTAAACACCGACCACAGATTCTAATTTTAAAGGGACAGCACAAAATTACGAAGACATCGTAGAAATCTAATTTCTGCTATTTATCGTGCTCCAATCGAAACTTTCGACGGTCGTTACCGGGAAATTCTACCGTGGCAATTGTCACGATCGCTGGATCGTGACTCGAGTGGGATCGAGCGAAGTGGTGGGGGGGAGGACATCGGAGGTTGATAAATACCAGTGGTCACGAGCCGGCTATCTTCGTTAAACGCCGCTGGTTACGCGAATCGTGCTTCGAATGGTTGGCAGCGGCGTGTGTGCTTGCCTGTGTCCGTCGATTCTCGAGATTCCCTTGTGCACCAGCGTAATCGATAGAAAAAGTATGCGTGTTCTTATTGACACGTCGATCCGACGAACGGTGATACGGTGAAAAACGACGAGCAAAACGAAGTCGACCGTATAAAGCATTGGAAAACGCTGGAGTCAAGTGTAAACGTGGATTCTTTCGAGGAACAGTTATGATGTCGAGCATGTCCACGGATAAGGAGCCGAGCAGACCGACCGGGAGAAGTGAGTTCACGGAGTTACCGGAACGAGCAGAGCGGGAATCCGTTTAGTGGCGTGTGAAAGCTTCCGTGTTCGGTGGATTTGTAGCAACGGTGTCGTACCGTGTCCAGCGAAGTTCGTACGAATTTGATGTTGAAACGACGTTTACGATACTTACGATACTTACAGTATTATGATATTACGGGATTCCGATACTTACGATACTTGCAAGATTATGATATTCGCGGTATTTTGGATATTTACGATATTTTCAGTGTTACGATACTTACTGTGTTTATAATATTACGATATCATGGTATTACGATACTTACGATACTTACGGTATTTATAATATTAGGATATCATGGAATTACAATGCTTACGATACTTAGGGTATTTATAATATTACGATATCAGGCCATTACGGTGCTTACGATACTTACGGTATTTATAATATTAGGACATTATGGCATTACGATACTTACGATGCTTACGGTGTTTATAATATTGCGATATTACAGTATTACGTTCGTTACGATACTTACGATATTTACAATAGGTGTATTACGATTGCAGTATTACGTTAGTTACGAAATTTACAATATTTACAGTACTATTACGATATTACAGTGTTCCGATACTTACGATATTTATAATAATACGTTATTACAATAGTTACATTACTATTAACGTGATATCGTAATACTATACGTATATTATAATACGGTATTTACGATATTTATGATATTACGATGTACGGTTTTACGATACTATATTTAATCGCTAAATTGGTTTATTGGCCACCTTCATTTGTACGTAAAAGTTTTATTTAATAATTTCGAGTTTTCAGTTTTACACACTGTAAATACCATTAAGAGATCAGACGCGAGAGCAACATTCACAAAAGTCGATTCAAGGGTGGATCTAGAGTGTAAACACACCTTAACAGAATCTAATATCAGTGGATAATTTGATTCGTATCAGTGGATCGAGTGGATCCGTAACGTAAACCCTTAATGCCGAACAAATATACGGGGTGCCTGATTGAAGTGTGAGCTCCCGAATATCTTTTTTAATTGCGAAAACGCAAATAGTATTTTATACGTAATTTCAATGGTATTACGTATCTTGCTGGTGTTTTTTTTTCTCAAAGTTTTCAAAGTCATCGATGTTTTTTTTTCTTCTTCAACTACATATTTTCTCATGGTCATATGATAGTACATATCTGAATATACAAATTGTATTTTAATTTCTAAATGATATATATTTTTCTGGGAAGCCGGTAAAACTACCGAAACTATATTTTCATAAAATTTGAATTGTGTTTTATTAACTAACAGTAGAGTTTTCTTTCTGTTTCAAGAATTCAACAAATTTGTGAATATTTTGTGTCGAGCAACAATATTTGGGGCGGATAATTACTTATATACGCTATGGTAATAGCTGCGTATGTCAAAATGTAAACATTGTAATCAAATTTTATGAGTATCTGACGAGCAGTTCAAATAAACCGTAAAAAAGTATTTTATCAGTGTCAGGATGAGTAAAGAAAAGAATCTTACACCAGAACAACTTCGACAGGTGGAATTGCTTCAAAAAGCTGGAAGAACATATCAATTTTCAAATATTTCAGAATATTTACAATGTTCTTTTGTCAAGTAATACTATATATTAGGCGACCTGGAATTGTGGATGAATATAAATTTTTAATAGATTCGCATACAAAGTCAGACGTCGTATAAATGAAATAATATTCACGGAATTTGTACTAAGCCAACGATAAGAAGAGTTAGTGGACCTGTATTTGTTTGAGGTATAATGTCTGCAAATGGTGTTGGTCTAATTCAGCGAATATAGGGAATCTCGGATTGATATGGTTATTCAAACGTAGTCAAAAAGGTATTACTACTATTTGCATAAACATCTATATCAGAGGATTTGATCTACCAAGCAGATAACGATCATAAGCATACTGCTCGTGTCATCACACCATTTTTAATCAAACACAATATGCCATTTGGATATGAAAACATATTTTTTGTGTTTCCACAATTATTAAAAAAGATATTCGTGGGGATCACACTTAAAGGAGACACCATGTATAGGAAGCATAAATATTTAAACTGTGAATATTCTCGATCTCTGTTTAAATAAACCGCAGTACAGTATCAGAAAAATGATTGTCCGAAAATTCCATTATCCGAACACTCAGTCCCTCTATTAGTTCGGATAGTGGAGGCTGTACCAGTATCAATAAGATCAATGAAGCAATATCATCTTCCTCTACTCATTCTGCATTCCATGAATCTGCACAGTAAATCCTCGATGAGTGTTCGAAGGCTCATCGACACTGAACATTAAATATTTCATAAACTAATGGCCATCTGCGGCTGAAACAAATATCATTGGCTTCAGAATTTCAAGCTCTATCCTTGGATAGATTTCCTTGTCAGTGCCGAGGAGCCGTCGGACAATCATCGAGGATTTACTGTATTCGGAAGTTCCTGCTAAGTGGACGTCCCCACTGTCCACAGAACCCTACAAATCGGTCACTTCTCTATTCCCATAGGGTTTCGTTGCAGCAGAGAGGCCTGTTGCGCGTACGTGAAGCGAAAGCTGCCGATTTTGTCGTGGTTGACGCGCTACAAGCTCGCATGGCTGCCCCAAGACGCTCTGGCAGGCTTTACGGTCGGTCTGACGGCTATTCCGCAGGGGATCGCATACGGCGTGGTGGCCGGTCTACATCCCGAGGTAGATAACCGGCAAAACTATCAACCGTACCCCCTAACACACCGTCTATTGTCTAATACCCAGCCTATCATACTTTAGTACGGACTGTACGCGTCATTCATGGCCTCGTTCGTCTACATTATCATCGGTTCCTGTGAGTGCATCACCATTGGTCCAACCGCGATCATGTCCACGATGGTGCAGCCATTGGTCAAGGAATACGGGGCGGACATGGCGGTGTTGATTACATTTTTGAAAGGCTGCATCATCGCCATCCTGGGTCTGCTGCACTTGGGTGAGCGGGTCTCGTTGATTTATACCCAGGCAAGAAGAGATATTACCCTGGTAGCAAATCCAGTTGGGAAAATGAATACTTGTATTCTGGGAATTTAGGGCGAAGTGAACTAGTCCCATATATTTACACGTGAAATAACTGGACAGAAAGTGGTGAAATTTGTTGCCTTCGATGAATTCGATTTTGGGTAGCCTGCCAGTGGCTACTTTACGAGTATAGGGTATCGTTGCGATCTGTCGTGAATTGTGTCCCTATTGTGTGGTGGTATGGGCGGTTGCTGATCTCCGTTTTGATAGTAGTTAAGGATATATTTATCCAGGAACCAATACTGGACGAAATATGGCGTCACACGGTCCAGGTCCCTGTGAGAGTACAGTAGACTCTAACTATATTGCCACTGAACACATTGCCACATGAGGCACTTCCCCGTTCACACGTACTTTCGCGCACACAAATTCGCTCTCCCACCATGTTGCGTACGCCGGCGCACTAGCACGATCCAGCTTTTGCGCAGGCGCCGAGGCAGAGGCCATGGTGACAGAACTTAGCATGGAGGGGGCTCTGAACTCATTGCCATTTTACTCCCCAACCGCCCCGAACATGGCAATATAGTTAGAGTCTATTTGTACTTAGGTCCCATTAGGTCTTCTAAGATCGTGGTTTCCAGGTTTCTTGCTGGACTTCATCTCCCTGCCGGTGATCACGGGATTCACGACAGCAGCCTCGATCAATATAGCCGCCTCGCAGTTCAAGTCGTTGCTGGGATTACCCGGTAGAAGCGAGGATCTAGTGGATTCCTTGAGAGCGGTTTTCTCTAACGCGAAGGACATCCGATATCAGGACACGTTATTAGGGGTCGGGACCATAGCCGTTCTGGTCTTGCTTAAGGTACTATATCCCCCAACAGGGATCAATTTTGTTGTTTTTTTTTTTTCGGTGGTTCTATTCGATTTAGATATCGAATCGCCAGGCTATACTGTCATCCCGCGTCTTTGGCACAACCTGCCGATGCTATCCCCCAAATAATCTGCATCCGCTGCAGCCCGAATAGGACGCTTAATGTCTCTGTTAACATTTCTGCAAGAATCTGCCCGGACGTCGAACCGGCACGTGGCCAGAAAAACTTGCATGGACCGTGACACTAGCGCGTAATGCTTTCGTGGTCGTCGTAGCAACCACCATGGCGTATATATTTTCCATCAATGGCGACGAGCCCTTTAAGCTGACCGGTGAGAGGATATCCGATAATCAACGGCGGTTTATGCAAATCTCGCGAACCCAGGAATATCACGTGGAAGGGTTAATTACCTTCACTTGACGAACACCACGAAACTAGTTTCATATACCTTGTTTCGCTTATTTGCATACCGCCCAAAACCATTGAAAATAGGACGCCTACGAGTATCTGGCGAAACACTTTATCGAGGAATCGACAGAGAAGGAACAAGTTTCACGACATTTTTCAGGAGCATTGGGCGAAGGTTTGCCGCCGTTTGGACCACCGCCATTCTCGATCACAACTGGCAATCGGACGTATGATTTCCGGGAGAGCTTGATGGCGATGGGGACCACGCTTGTCTCACTTCCGGTGGTGTCCACGATCGAGCACATGGCGATAGCGAAGGCTTTCGGTACGATATTTGTCGTTAAACTTGTTCTATCATAGCAGATTCTCTTACTGCTCACATTATTCCCATACTGCTCGCATCATTCCCATACTGATGCAGTATTTTTATACTGCTCCCACTTCTCCTACACTCTCCTTTCCCAAAAATGTTCTGACATATGTGCTCAACATAAACAAACAGTAGTGATTCTCTTACTGCTCCCACGCCTCCTAGACTCTCGTTTCTCGACAATTGCCTGACCTATTTATTCAATACAACCGAGCAATAGGCTAAAGTTGTATTAAGACCGTTCAAACTGCGAGCACTATAGGAATATATACTGCGATAACGAACACCGCTACGAAATGTAAATTCAATGATATTCTATCTATCAGAAGCTATAGAGGAGTTCCTATCTTTCAACTATTTCGAGTGTATCGGAGTTTAATTCATCATGTTTCGAATTTATCCCTCCCCACCCACGGAAACACGTCCGACGTAGAGCCATAAATATCCGCGAACGTATCGATATGCTTTGACCGTAGCGATGGGAAAATCTTTGGACGCCACGCAGGAGATGTTCGCGTTGGGTGTGTGCAACGTGTTCGGCTCGTTCGTGCGATCGATGCCGGTCACCGGTTCCTTCACTCGCACCGCCGTCAATCACGCGTCCGGCGTGAAAACGACTTTGGGCGGTTTGTTCACCGGTGAGTAAACATTTAAAAAAATGTCAAGTTTCTCAGAAGGAGGAAATTTATCCGAGATATACAAGTTTTGCAACGGAAATACAGTAAATTATCAATGAGTGTTCGAAGACACTGCTCAGCTCAGAGATAGAACTTGGAATTTCGAAGCCAATGATATTTGTCTCAAACGCCATGGTTTATGAAATAGCCTTTGAACATTCATCCAAGATTTACTGTACGCTCTAGCACGATCGCTTCTGCAGAAAGGAGGCTGGTGAAAATTGACACATTTTCCTCGATTACGTTGGGTTCTCCGCTAATTACGTTTCTTTTCATCGCAGGGTGTCTCGTGCTCCTTGCCGCTGGCCTATTGACCTCCACCTTTCGTTTCATACCGAAAGCCTCCTTGGCCGGCGTTATTATATGCGCGATGTACTACATGCTCGACTTCAAGACGTATGTCATGCTGTGGCGAGCGAAAAGTAAGTTGAATTTTCATGTTACGTAACCTTGGAATAATTAGTGTTATGTAATACTTGTCCCCTCTCTACATAAGTACTTGGTCTCCCTCTATAAGTTTGCTAGTGGGAATTATAGAGAACAGTGGCCAGGATTTCCCTCTGAGACCATTTTTATCCGATTTCTTGCGGTTGGTACGGTGGTGTGACCTATAGCGACATAGGAAAAGCGTGTTTATAGACAGAGAAATCGTTTTATCAGACACTTTTTCTACCTTCCAGAGATCGATTTTCTTCTGATGATGATCACTCTTTTATTCTGCGTGTTTCTCAAGTTGGAATGGGGGATAATCATAGGTATCATCGTGAATCTACTGATCCTGCTGTACTTCTCCGCGAGACCGTCCATCGAGACAGTGATACAGCAGGTTAGAAAAACTAATAAGGAAATTTTGATACCCCAAAAGTTTTGAATTTTTTTCAATTTCGCAGGTTTGTAAGGGACCTCGATACAAGCATCAGCCAATTTTTCCTGATAGATTCCTTAAAGATAAATGTATCTTTTCATATTTTTCTGAATATCTTAGAAACTATAATAAATATGAAAAACTGTTACAATGCAAATTTAATAGCTTCCTATGCTCTACAAAACTGTGCAATAAAATTATTAAGAATTTGTTTTTTAAATAAACAAATTTTGAACAAATTTATTAGACACTTTTGTAGAGCATAAGAACCCATTCAATTTTCATTGCAACAATGTTTTTATATCAACTATAGTTTTCAAGATATACAGGAAGTATGAAAATACATACTAACATTTAAGGAGTGGTTTCAATCAGAAGTTTCCTTCTGGGACAAACGGCTCGAAAGAAAGTTTAAAATTGCTTTACCGTGTGTCTTGGTGATGAGTCAACCGTTATTTTTTAGAATCTGCACGTCCATGGAATCATACACTTTTTAAATTTTCTTACGAGAGCGACATGGTCCTATTGTTGAAAGAAACTTGAAAAGATTTTCCATGCAGGTCGACGATGAGTCTGTGATACGGGTCACGCCCGAGGAAGCTCTTACGTTTCCAGCCGCGGAGAACTTCCGCGCGAACATAATGAAATTATCCGAGGAGAATCCGAGCAACGTTGTGCTCGATTGTCGGAACTTGAAGAGGATCGACGTCACAGTCGCGAAGGTAATCGTCGAAGGAATTATTTTGCATCGGCGAAACGCCCACCGAACTGATCCCCCTCTCCGTTTCCGCAGAGTCTGAAATTGCTGGCGAACGATTTGCAACTACGCGGACAGAACTTCGCCTGCGTCAACTGCCACAGAAACGTCGAGGTTGTACTAAAGTCGGTCGCTCCGGATCTCTACCAGCATTATCGGAATTCGGTGCTCGAGGACAGAGCAGCTGCGTGAACCGTAACCTTCCATGTATTTATGTAAATAGTAATGAACCGAGCACAATGACGGTGAGATAACGATTGACATTCGAGTGGGATCATCGATAACCGTTATCGAGAGCCATATAAACCAGAGATTGACGGTCGCCACAAGTCTGTAAAATCTACGAATATTGTTTTCTAAAATATCATTGTTCTATCGGCGAAAGTCTTCCATGTTGTACGATACATCTTAAGTTATTCTTGAAATAAATAGAATCAACAAGGAGTTCGGTCGAAACTTTTACGAAGTTGAACGTAACCTCACTTTTTCAGATGTTGGGTTAGAGTTGTCCAGTTAGGAAAGAAAGGACCAAAGGAAAGATTTAATTGTAATTAGTTGTGAAAATTTAATTGATTAGGGTTGCAGGATACACAGTGGTTGAGTTTTCAGGATCGAGTTTGAGCTTTGAATTATTAAGAGGGCAGGAGGATCGAAATCTTGGTGAATGGACACAGGCGTTAGGCATTCGCCGCGGTGGATGGATCGATTCTGTGGTTGGTCTCGATGTGCTCTTCCATTGTTTCGTTCTCCAGCAGGATCCAGTAACAATACTTGCAGTACGCTCGTCGATGCGACTTGACGTGTGTCGATAATGATAGCAAAGTGGCAATCTGCTCGCGGCAGATATTGCACTCAAATCCCAATGGTCGTTGCTCTGAAAGCTGTTTGTTCGGAAGCTTATTCGCTTCAACTTCGGCGAAATTATATACTTTGTGGATTATATGTATAGAGAACGTTACGAGAGCCGATGGCGCAGTCCCACACCCTCTCGAAAGGGACAATGAAAATACAATTCAGAGTACTGCAAATGAAATTACGTGCCTCGTAGTTTAACTACATTCCAATTGAATCGTACCGCTTTCACTGTGCGTCGCTTACGTAAGACCGGCAAGATTCATTTGCGCTCCGAATTGTGATAATATAAAATATTTCAAAAAATTCAATTTATCGAATGATAATGATTAATAAATTTAATAATAAGGGGGAACTGTAAAGTCTCTTAAACTGACACGTGGTTAAAAAAGGAAAAAGGCATTTCCTTAAAACAAATTGGTGTCACCTACCGCTATCATAAACGAATTATCACATTCTGGGGTTCAAACCTAGAATTTGTATATATGAAATTTTTAATGTCTTAAAAAAAAAAAAATAATACGTTAATTGGACTATCTTGCATTATAGTTTCATTGTTTATACAGCGAAATAAAGAAACAGTACTCACGTTCGTAGCGTCCCCATCACCGCCTAGATTGTTTTTTTCCGAAATCACCGTGTACTGGGGCAATCTCGAGTCGGAGCTTTGTCTACGACGTAACTGTAACGGCAACACCACCGGGTACTTTCCTTCTTCCAGCTAGAACCACGTTTCTCGTTCATTTAAAATATTTAAACTTTATTTAGAACTCTGGATACCATATATACTGGTCAGAGGAACGTTTAAATATAAATAATGAGTGTAAATACTGCGTATTATATTTTTAGAACGTCTATCTTTGTCGTACACGTGCTCAGAATTCGCAACAGTCGTTAAAAATCTGGCAAATACTACGCAGTTGTGTTTGTATTGCTTTATACGAATTTCGTATTTGCGCGGGCTAGCCAGTCTACGCACCGGCCCCGCGCATGCCCGTGACGTCATTCGGCCATGGCTCTCGCGGTGTGCGGGTCGTTTCAAACGTGCTAGTGGTTTTTTTTCATTTCTACGTGAAATTTTGCATGCATCCGTCGAGACAGTACTTTATATTGGTAGTTAAAAGCACGTGCAACACGAATATAACAAATTCGGTACGAATCTCGTGGTAGTTTTGTGTAATATTTGTGAAAAAGTGTCCGCGGGCTAGACTGTTCTACGCACCGGCCCCGCGCATGCTTATGACGTCAGTTCGGCCATGGCTCTCGCGGTGTGTGCATCGTTTCGAACGAACTCCTGGTTTTTTCTCATTTCTACGCGAAATTTTGCACGCATTCGTCGTGACAGTGCTGTATATCGGTAGTCAAAAGCACGGGCAACACGAATATAACAAATTCGGTACGAATCCCGTGGTAATTTCGCGTAATATTTGTGAAAAAGTGTCCGCGGGCTAAGTGTTGCGTTACACTCCTTTGTCTTCCGTGGCGTCACCTTCGTTTCAAACGTTCTGTGCATTCAATTCTACTTTCATCGCTTGAAATTTAAGGTAATATTACAAATTCAATTCTAAACTCGCGTCTGAAACACCCTTGTAATGAATCAAACTTGATTTCTTAGAATTCTTTGCAATTTAATACGTTATTTCTTGAAAATTCTTCGCGGTTCGATTCAGTGTCATTTCGCTTCGTGCGACCGTAGTTTCACAATCGATTCAAATATTTCTGATATTTAACTTCACTTCTACGATTTGAAATTTGAAATAACAGTGTAAATTCAGTACTGGTGTCAAGTCTAGAGCCTCGATACCACGAATTTAAAGTGTTAAAAGTTTATCCTCGTTATTTGTCGAAAATTTCTCGCGGTTAGACTCAGTATTATCTCGCTCCGTGCGACCGTAGTTTCCCCTTCCGTTCAAACCTTCGCGAAGTTTAAATCTTTACGGACCTCCTATCGAACCAAATAATATCGCGAATTTAATTGTTGAACGTTGCCCAGAACGTTTTTGTCACGAATTTAGTGTGATTTATTAACATTGCAACGTATTCGTGTCGTTATTCGTCGAGAATTTTTCGCGGTAAAATGACACGCCATGTAGCTTCGCGCGACCGTAGCGTCACCTTCGTTTTATATATTCGCGGTATTAAAATTTCGTGTTTTTATTAACGAATTTCTCGTCAAGCTTACATTTCGGTACGAATTCGCGATCAAAACGGCAGTGTGTGTGCAAACAGTGACAATGTTATGGAAGAGGAAGCAAGAAAGAACAATATATACAGCCATGGCCTACCTTTCTGGCACTTTGGTGTGGAGGACGGATGTCGTAGACAAAATCTTTCTTCGTCATCTTCTCGCTGATGTTGCGATTGCATCGCAGATTATACTTAATCACGTCCCCGGGCATCGTATCCGCCAACGAGTTGTTCCTGCAGCTCTGGTGAGTGCTCATAATTCACAATTTCCACCATTTGTTAAATCGTTCGTCGTATGTCACCGATATTCGTTTGTTTGACGGAAAGAAAATTTTGTGAGTCTTTTTTATTACGAAATGTATGTTACTTATTTGTCGTAATGATAAATTACAGATAAACCTTATATTATTATTATTCATAACAATAGCTTCCTTCGTAGAATCGATAGATCTGTCTAGTTAGAACTAAATTTGTAGTGATTTTTGTTACGCGTTACTTTGTTGGAAACATTGTAAAAGTATGAGCCGTAGTAGTTTTTTTTTCCAACGCCGGTATAAAGGCCAGCGATCACGCGAGTTAGTACGCATAACAAAAAATAAAAGTAACATAAAACATGAGCTAAATTGTCCCTGTGCCAACCCGCAAGTTTTTTTTTTTTTTTTAACAAGGACAAAGCTTGCCTTTGTAGCAGTTAGCTGCGCCATGACCGTGTTAATAGTAAGGAGAATACGCGTTTGTGTATGTACAGTGCGATGCGTTCGCGTGCCCCGATATTGCACGAACGAAACAACGTTTGACAAAATAAATAAACATTCATTCTATGGCGCGCCCGATAAATTTTATATGACTAGAGAGAATCGTGGGCGTCGGAAGCAGATAGTCGATGTTACCGCATAAAAAGATTCGTGTTCCGTGCGATCGAACGCAACAATGTCTCGATTAGTTTCGCCTCCCTAAACACAGATTTAGAGAATCCTCGATGGCGTTGCGCAGCGTCGCGTGAACAGCAAAACATTTCGAAGGGGAACGGCTTATTCGTGTTCGTTCCGTAATTTAGGCCCTTGAGGTCGCAGCTGGCGGTCCTCGAAAAGAAAAAAATCGCGTTCAGCTTTCCACAGGCAACGGTAACACGCGTATTTACACACCGATGATAAAAACAGAGAAGCTATGTATACGCTTTGATACAAAATAAACGTCGGTCGCATTCGTAAAACGAATAAAAACAGTTTATTCTCAGTAAAGATGATATCACTGCACACGCACAGTTGCTCAGATACTGTCCAAATGGGGATTCAAGTTGTAGTTCGTTTCACGGTTGTTCCGTATCGAGGAATCCTGATGCAGCAGCAACGGTGCTCTCTCTTGCCTGACCTCGGGAAGAGAGGCCAACTCCTGGACAGGGCTTCGCTGCCATATACTCCTGGTGGCCATTTCTTGATAGCCTCTTCGCTGAATCTGTAACTACATTCTGCTTAGTTCTGAGTCTCTACAGAGGATACAAGCGTTAGTATTAGGGTACTTCGATCGGTAGTACTTGTCTGTGATGAAGTTCGTGCAGGTACAATGTAGACAGAGACATATCGACAGCAGTTAGCTCCACTGGCACAGATAACTCCGTGGACAATTCGTGACCCGAGCCGAACACAGAAGCTCCCAGAGACTGATTCGACATTCCTTGTTGCAATCCGTAAAGGAACCCCTTCTCGTTATGTATTGGACCCTCAGCTTTGCTCAGGCCACGTCTGACAGCGTGCGACAGAAGGTCTGATTTCATGCTCAACGACTGATCCGCCATAACCGAGGCACCGGTCGAGGTGCAAGGTTGGTTCACGAACACGTTACTTGCGCTGGGCACGCTCAGGTGATTCACCATTGTGCTTCTGATTATGTTGGACACTATATCGTTGTACTGAAAGAATGGGAACAGAGTCGAATTGAGTTCCTATTAAAAAAAATTTCTGTAACTTACTCATTGGCCCAGATTTGGTACTCACCCCCGGTCCAAGGCCGGATAAGCTGTTCAGACTGGTCAACAAAGGATTGATATCTCCCGTCATGCCATGTACTTCTTTCTTCGCCCTTTCTCGTAGAGCGGTCACAAAGTTCTCGGCGTGACTGGGCGGTTTCCACTCGGGATTGGTCAGAGTGAAGTGTATCAGCGACAATTCCGTCTTCCCGTCCTCTGCCGGGGTGTACTGATTGGACGTGGGTACCGGCAACGTTCCTGGGTCCGTGGTATAACGATTGTCGTATCCCGTGGGTCGTTCCTCCATGATCGGGCTCTGGGTCACCGTCTGCCACATCGGATTCCCGTGCTTGCGTACGTCCATCTGCGCGAAGCTACACACGTCCCCCACTCCCGTCACCTCGATTGTAAAATTACGGTAGAAGTCAACGATGTCCAAGGCTCGTTGCCTCATGTGGAAGCACAGAATGAAGGGGGTCAGCAGGGGGGAGGTTAGCTCCTCTAACAGATGGATCGCCCGGTATTGGAACAACTGGGCCACTTGGGCTCTGGTGGTTTGTGTGTGAGCGTGACCGCGCCAGCTATCCGGCCTGTAGTGCGTATGCGCTAGGACAGCTGTCAGAAGTGTTTCCGGACACCAGACCAGGTTTTCGTCGGGTATAAACGCCCTGGCTCCGGCCACCAACGCGCCCAATATGGTCATGGTAGTCAACACATGCTCCACCGTAAGAACATCCTCGTCGTACACGGTCAATATCAATAAAACCGCCAGTATACTACCGGCAACGAAAGCGATGTTCTTCGCGAGTACAGTCATAATAGGGGACGTGAATATGCTCATGTACTTTGAGGCTGGACGGTATGCACGATTCAGACGCGCGTTCAATTCGTGATCGAGTTCGTTGAAGTGACGGAGGTACAGTCGACCGTACAGAGACCACATTCTTGTTCCTAGGGTGCCTGGCTCCCGTTTGATTATCTGTAAGACAGGATTCATTTCCATTAGGATTGATCCGATGATGAGCGGTGATTTTTAGTTTGTAGAGAAATCAATTTACTCACCTCTCCGTAGTTGAAAAACGAATAGAGTATCTGCCATAGTAGAATCAAGGGACAAAGCATGAAGTTCGCTATTCCAACCCATAGGATATGCTTGGACAACGCTCTGGCGAGCTCTTGCCTCTTGTTCAATTTCTTGTAGTCCTCCTTGAGATGCCAATTGTTTTCGAAAGGAGACCATGGACCCCCTAGAATGGTTTACCGTTGCAGAACAGATATGTCGCATTGGATATATAGGGTAGCAATGGTTTAAACGCTTACAGAACAGAAGCAATTCCATGTTGTACTTCAGTCCTCTGGTCATGAAGATTACCTCACCCACGACAGGGACCCGGATTCGTACAGGCAGCAGGGACTTGTTGATCATCGCCACCATGTAATTTTTGAATCTCAATATTCTGTGGTATATATCTAACTCCGTGAGCTCTCTTTTGTGAATGCACATCTCTTGCTCCTTCTGCACCTCTCTGACTCGCTTCTGCACCTCGTGCCAGGTCAGATTATCCAAATCGCAGTCTTCGATTTTTAGAGCGGTGTTAAAGAACGACTTTATATCCCAGAACTGTGTGAGATGGTATAAAACTTTTACCGCTCGTAGAATCCAAAAGATCGCGGCCACCGATATACATATCCATGTTACCAGACCCATGGACGCCGTGCACTTACTGGTCGGCAATATAGCGTCGTTTATAGACGTTTTGTGCGAGGTGCTGTTCGTTACTTTGTCTCTGGAACATAAACGAAAATCCCGGTTGTATGGAAAAAAAAAACAGTCGACTCCCTTGTACCGCAATTTCCTAGCGAGCTCTTACTTAAACAATACGGAGTAATCGATGCAATGAAAGAGATAAGTGGAAAAGGTAACTACGAAAATGAATTGAAATAGCTCCAGCACTTCTTGCAGCATCATACAAGCGAACCCATGCTTCTGGTGGTAATGGTACATCCTCGTAAAAAACGAGTCGAGATCCTCTATGTGATTCCATCTGGCCTTGTTCCCTTCCGGCACCACGTGTATCATAACACCCGACTCTTGTGGTGTTTCCTCATGATCGTCGTCGTCTTCTCCGTCCTCCTCCTCGCCCTCGTATGGCTCCATTCGCTGGTAGCTGCCATCCAGTACTGTTGTCATCTACAAGCACAGGATTCAATGAATGTGCCATTTAAACATCCAATTTGAAAGATACAGTATTTTTTCCAAAGTTTTAAAAAAGGCAGTTACATAGCTTTAAGCATCAATTTACCGGGACTGGAATCTGTTTGAATTGAATTTTTCACTACGCTTAGTTTTAGAGAATCTACTACAGATTGTACAGAATTAAGGAACAATGAAAGCAATGCAACATGCAGTTGGAAGTATCGTACACAAAGTCCCATAAGACAGATCCTTACCGTTTTTGCTCTTCGGTTCGTTTCTACACAGGTAATGACAGTTTCTCGTTTCATTCTTTCATGTCATTCAGATTAATTAACTACCGGTCGACGGTCTCTTCATAAGCATCTAGAATACAATGAAACAAATCAACACTCGGTCACAACTCGGTGTACAAACTGATCTATCCACCAGTTTAGTCAACTGTATCCTAATCAGACGTGTTGAAATAAATTACACATTCTCACAATTATCCTCTTTGTCTACTTGCCCTTCTCATCGTTCTTATCTGAGGATTAAATATCGAGATTGCAACAGTGTTTTCCACCGATCGATTGCAAACGCAAGGACGGTTTCGTGGTTTTTCAATCTGACGTGGGGGATAAGACCCAAGGAAAATCGAAAATTTTCACGATGCACTTTCACGAATGTACAACTGAACACGCGTGCAGAATGGTATTGTTAGCGATCACGAGCCCGCCAGTCGTTCGTTGCGTGACAAAAGATTCATACCACCCCTCCGATAGGATGATGCATCCCGATTTTTTCGAGCGCTTGTTATTTCCTTTTGTCCCCGTTTGCTCGTTTTTAAATCTCTATAGTGGAGAGTCATCGGATGCTATACGAGACCGTCCAGGCGCGGAGACCACGATTTTTCGTCGCCTCCACGTCGGATGACCTTTATCCGACGAAAATAGAAGCGTGTCGCGGACGCGCAACAGCGAAGGACCGAGGCAGCGCGAATGTTTGGTAACACAGCTGATCCCCATAAACAAAGCGTTATCATGGCCCCGTACCTTCGGTCTTTATCACCGAGTCCCCGTCCCGTTCTCCGAAACGACGCGCGTTTAATCCTACCCGGCTGCAAGCTCATCAATTCCCCTCACTCACATATTGACCGCGACCACGGACCAGTGTTCACTGCCAATTTAGACATCGAAACGTTAAAACCGTTCCGCCAGCCGTCCGTCCGTCACCATCTTTGCTGAATTTTGCTTCTATTTGTGGCTTACCTTGCTGCGCTCGCTGCGAACCTTGCGCTGACTTCCGATACCGTTACGTGACTGTTGGTATTATCGGTAACGTCGGTGTCTTCTTTTAGCATTATCGATCGCATGAGATCCGTTACAAACCGTTACAATTTGTATGAATACGAGGCGACGAACCTAACCCTTCTTCGGTGCTGAATACATTAAAGAAATAAGGACGAATGATTGTTATAATCGAAATTAAAATAGAAATTGGTATCCTCGGTCAGATGTTTCGGTTTCGAAAGTTCTTATGCACTAATATAACTGCGATATAAACAAGGATTATAACTTTTCGGGTAGATAATACTGGTCAAATGATGAAAAGTAGTCGTAATAAACATGGATTGAAAAATTAATATTTTGAAAGTTACCAACAATTTTCGGTAGACGCTAGTGAATGAAGAAAATTGTAATAAAACTAATAAAAACCGTCGAGAACTTTCTGTAACCAGGTAAAGGAGAAATAATAAAGTAATCCATTGTTACTGAACAGTACGATAACTCCCGAAGCGAGAAAGCTTTGAGAATATCTTTGAAAATATTAATTTTTCGACCTAAGTTTATTAGGACTTTTTTTTCAAAATTTGACGAGTATTATCTACACCAGTAGTTATGAACCATTTTTCTGTTCACACCGCATATACTTTGCATTCCATTCTAATAGCGTTGAAAAATGATCGAAAGGATGTGTCGATGGAATGTTGTACACGTTAATTTTACACACGTTTAATTGCAATATTATATCATATTTACAGTGTATCATGGAACATTGTAATTACAAAAATATTATTACTAGACTCGCGGACGTTCATGCTAATTCACGACTCCCTATTATTCATGGAGTTCACATAAACCGAAATTAAATACGAATTTGCGTCTTCCTCCAAATACGAACATTGTTAACGTGTTCGAAGTTTCTATTTCATTATGTGGTCCGCAGTCTGATTGTTATCGTACGTCGATTATTTTCAGCGACCGTTCCTCTCCTCGCGATCGTCGTTCTCTTAAATAGAAACAAGGAATTTCTCGTATGATCCTATCGCGTTCGCCTTGGAAATCACCGCGAAACGGACGCCCCACATTGGTTCACCAGGTCTCGACTATGGCCTGTCGCGATAAATATCGTGGAAAAAGGACGCGGGCAACGCTGCGAAAATTTACTATGTACATCCACCATTTGGTCGCGAGCTATACTTCACGGACAAGACACAGGGAACACTTCAAGATTCTCTTCGAACGGCCCTAGAAACATTTTTCATAATTGGACCATCAAAGACAGGATGGTCTCTGACCTTCTTCAGACCTACTAAGCATTACTGTCCCTAAAATAGGATTGGTGAGGTTTGCTTGAGTTTTCAAAACTCCGCAGATTCGCTGTATCTTGTCCAGCAAGTATCATACAAAGACACCGAAAAGTGTACGAGTTATACAAGTAACCGGGTAGCTAAGTTAGCTCCATTTGCTCCTTTCGAATCTGTTCTCGGTGGAACGAATACAAAGACTGTCGCAGAACTCCATAGAACGGCACACGGTAGAATTCTCGAGAACGAGTGTCGATTGTTCAGGACCAGGACTGGATCATTCCTAGCCCTAACGACGGGATTTCGGATCCTCTAAAACCAAGTGATACTGCTAGACCAGTGCTACCTCCGAATTGGACCTCTAAAATCCCCACATTATTCATCATGAATCACAGCAAATGGCGTAGTATTTAATATCATAATTCCCTCCACAATCGAGACAAATGTACGAAAACCCAATTCCCTCAACAGTAATAGGCTAGCTCTTCATCTTAACAGTATAGCTATTCGTTAGTTTAGGGTGTCACTCGGCGACTCCGCTCGGTGTGGCCTCAAGAAAGTCCCCGTTTTCGTTCCAACGAGAACACCTCCATATCCGTGGCGAACAAGCTCTTCCAACAGTTAAATATCATCGGGTCATCGATTTTCCTCCGATCTCTGTCTGATGCTCCGGTGTCTACTGGACTCGCTCAGTCACGATTCTCGCCGCGTGCGTGTCCCGATGGTAGTTCTGATCAGCATCGAGCACCGAGTCCGCGTTTCTCGACGAAGTCCCGGCCCCTCTATTCCCGGGCGATGATCTGTCCAGGACGTCTGGGTGCTATCCTGCGCCTGGGCGCCAACAGTCCGCTGAGTCCTCGGGTCTCCTCGTGTCTCGTGCTTGCTGCGGTGCTGGTCTCGGCGGATGTTGGCTCGGTGGATTCTGTTTCGCTGCTGGACGCTTCTGGCTCTTCAGACACGTCTTCCTGGCTGGTTTGAGGGACTGGTGCTTCGGTCACCTTTCGACGGGGCAGCAAAGGCGACCTCCTGGCTGCTACGGTCACCGGCGACCTGGTGGTCGTCTTCGGATGGACTTGGAGTCTGTTACGGTTGCGTAGCTTGTTCAGAGGATTCATCGTGGTGGAACGGGTGGGCGGTGGGCTGGTCTCTGCAGGCGCCTGTGCAGAACAATTGGTAATAATTCAATGAAAATATCAGTGATTAACGTGGAAATCCAAATGACTTGGTTCAAATGGGCCAATGTTCCCCACTGAGGGGCAATTTGAATATTTTAGGGGACAATTAGCAAATCGTTAACACTCGTCACCTTATCGACAACGGTCTTACGTGTGTGCCTTTCTTATTCGAAGCAGTTATAAATGTCAAACTTTTTCAGAACATGGTTCACTATTGTGCTGGAGGAGGGGGGGGGGGGGCACAGCAAAGGTTGGGAAATAGTGAAGTAGACAGATTCGAATATAAGCTACTAAAGTTAGGCCGAAACGGTCGAATACGGGGTGAACGTTTGCAACATCAAAGGTCGCAGACGATCCTCTGTCCCCGTCAGAGAATAAAAGACACACTCGTCGGAATGGTAAGCGTGTTCGTGACTCGTGTTTCCGAACACGTCTCGAAAAGTGGTCGCAAGGCGTGCTGGGGCTCCGTGACATTTTGCGAAAGGCCATTCGGTGAAAGCGTAGTCCCGTCGGGAACGAGCGATCTATCGCGACTTGAACCGTGGAATTTCCATGCGTGTTCGATTACGCGTCGAACGGTAAAATGTACCGTCGAAGTCGACGACCGAGTTAATTGGTAAAGGCAAAAATTTCGAAATATTCGTTTCAGAGCTGTACAAATCGTTTGGTGACCATGATTACCCAACGGGTCACCGGTGACTCGGTCATAGTACTTGGGCCAAGTGTTAAAAGAAAACTTACCTCGTGAGTCTCTTCCTCGGTTCCCTCACCTGCTGGCTCGTCGACGGACACTTCCTCCGAGGTTTCCGCGGGCAGAGCCGGCGTGGTCGTGCTCGTGGTGGTGGGTTGACCAGGTTTCTGTCTCAGGTTCACACGAACACCACCCGGTTTGATGACAGGCGGTCTTGCTCCTGGGGCTGGCAGTCTGGATCGTACCGTCGGCTTGGGTGTAGCGGTTACAGCCTCCTGAGTGGTCTCTTTGGCAGTCTCCTTGGAATCTTGACTCTCCTCGCTGGCGTTTGGCGCCGTTGTCGTCGGTCTTCCGCGACGTCTGTTGATGTTTAGCTTGTTGAACGACGGTCTGGACACCCCATTGTTGGGTGCGGTGGATCCACCGTTGGATGGGGATGGCGTGGTCGTAGAGACGGTGGGTCTAGTGGTTGAGGTGCCACGGAATCTTCCTCGACCATTGGTGGCTGAAGGTCGTTCAGCGTGGACCGAGCTGGAACTCTCTTTTTGGACCGCGTCCTCTTCGACCGGTTGCTTGTGTCCTGGTCTTGCCCTCTTGTATCCGCCAGTGGAGCCATTACTACCGAAGCGGGCTCGGGTGCGCTGGGTCGGTTCCGGTGCCTCGGTAGTCGTCGTGCTACCACCTCCATTCGATTTGAATCTGGATGGATTATAAGGAGGTCAGATAAAAGGGTGATGATATAATCTTAGTAGAACTAGTGAGAACATTGACCACTAGATTCGGAACATCTGTGAGCACTTTAAGGTGCCATTATTTCTTATGAGTAGTATAGGAAGTGAAACTAAGGTAGTGGAGTTACCAGATCTTAAGAAATCCGTATAAGTAGCTTCGAATCTCACCTGTTTCGAGAGGTCGCTGGTCCTCCTAGTCCAGGCCTCCTGAACTTTCCTCTTCCAGCTGCCTGGGTGGTGGTGGTAGGCGCTTCAGTAGTCGTTGTGGTGGTGGTCGTGGTGGTAGTCGTAGTAGTTGCGATAGTGGTGGTCGTTGGCTCTGTAGTTGTGGTGGCTGTCGTGGGTTCGACGGTCACCGTGGTGACCGATGATTCCGTGGTAGCTGTTGCATCAGTAGTAGTCTGTTCATCCGCAAGCGTGGTGCCATCGGAAGTAGCTTCGCTGCTAGAGGCTTCTACCAGGTTGTTCTGGCCCTGTTGCACGAAAGCGTACAGGTCCAGAGCGACTTTGTCCATGGCTGATGGATATTCTGTGGTTGGGTTGTCAGTGGCTACTGAGACGGTGCTCGGGGAAATCGACGAGGAATCTTGCTCCTCGGAGTCTTGCTTGTCTTTGATCGTGTCAGTGGAAGACGAGTCATCTTCTTTGCTCTCGGATTCGTCCGATCTAGAGGACAGGCTAGCCTTGGGCAATTCATCCTTCACCTAGAATACGATAAAGAAATAAGCATTCATTTTCGATGAAGGTATTCAGCTGGAGAAAGGTGAATTACCTCAGCTGATGGGGTGCTACTGATAGGCCTTCTCCTTGTCGTAGGAACTGGCGCGTCATCCAAAACCTCTTCCACTGGGGCAGGCTCCTGGACTCTCTGAGGCCTGCCTCGTACCCTGCCACCTGTTTTATCCTCGATCTCCTCATTCGGAGTGACTCCAAGGAATCTAACCGGCCCCTTTGGTAGGATTTGAGGGAATTCTGGACCTTCCTGGTGGGTTCGGAAGCTGCTGGAGTCGACCAGGTCCAGGCTAGGTCTGGGACGGTTTCCACGAGTTCTGGATGGCTCTGTGGTCCCCGTGTTGTGGTTCGATCGTGACCTGTTCATTCATTGCCCCTGCTGTTAATACTTTAGCTATCGGCGGATATACGTTGATCCTATATTTCTACTAATATTTTTATATTAAATTCTACTATTCTTTCTACCAATTCTTATCTAGAGAAGGATTAAGCAAAGAGCCCATCGACACACTCGGGAAAACTAGAAAGCAATAGAGCTTTAGGTACCTTCTGTACCTAGGTCCACAAGCCTTCATGTTTATTTGGATTCTTGTATTCAGGAGAGATAGATTGTACTGTGCAAAACGATGGATAGGATCAGAAGATAGGTACCTAGGTGGAAACCTGGTGTTCGCCGGCAGTCTTTCGTCAGACACGTCCTCAGTTTCGAGCTGCCTGCCCCTATTCCCGTTTCTGTTCGGTATCACCTCGTTGCTGGCCGGCTCGACGGTGCTCCGTTCCACGCTAGTGTACTTATTCCTGTTGCTGGACGATCCGCCGCGCCTAGGCGCGGGCGTCGTTCTAGAAGGAACGTCGTAAGAATTGGTGACGGCTGTGTCCGTCGAACCCGCCTTATTCTCATCGTCCTCGTCATAATAATAATATACGTACTCGTACTCGTACTCCTTGCCGTTCGGGCCTTTCTTTACCTGCGGTTCGAGGAAGTTCGAGACTTTAACACAATCGAATTTGGATCGAAAATTTGTTATAATACTCGGAAGACAATTGAGCGCATTGCCCGAGAGATTTTTCGATAGAGAGACGGTTGTCTCGTCTCACCTGGATTCGCGAGTTCGATCCGGCCGGGACTAAACTGACGTCGCTGATGTCGCCGAAGTTACGGTCGCGGAACGACGTCTCCTTGCCGTCGTCGCGGATGATGTTCACGGGGACGAAGTCGAACCCACGTGCCTCGCGCGGTGTCGTCAACACGGGCATCATCGTGGTTGGGTATTCGTCACTGTGAATATACACATTTTACTCGTCGAACTTGCAACTATGGTCGACTTAGTACTGAGGCTTTTGTGGCTACAATAAATTATCGACGAGTGTTCGAAGGCTCCTCGACATTGTTCAGGCGTTATCTCCACCATTGGGGGGTCCTCCGTGGAACCAGTCAAGGGCCCAGTGGTGGCAATGACATCTGAACACTCAATCCTCTAACTTCTACCTATTCCTATACATATACATATCACTCTAACTATCCATCTTTTTAGTTATCTAACTCTCTAGTTATCCCTCAACCTATCCTTCATCCAGTTCATCTCCTTATCCCTCTACCTATCCCTATATTTATCTCTGTCTCTATACATATATATCTCTCTATATCCCTCACCCTGTCTCTCTACCTACAGTGACGAATCATCGATGAATGTTCGAAGACCCCTGTCGAGGAGCTTTCGAATACTCATCGATGATTTACTGTACTGTATAGGCCCTGAGACTCTCCGTTAATAGTTTTAATGGTCCAAGTACTACAGGTTTAGTGTACCCTTACCTGACATGGACTCCAGGTATCACAGAGTCCCTCTGGTTCTCCACATAGGACCTATGAGCATCGGTTCTTCGGATCCCATCCTCTTGAAGGACACCAGTGTCGCTGAAGTTTTCCAGCTCGACACGGACCTGTCGTTTCGCGGTCGATTTCTCGTCATCCCCGAAATCGAAACGTCGAACCGGGTCCAGATTGACCGGTTTCTTTTCGTAGCTCTCCAACCACGGGATCACCTTTTTAGCGTGCTTGCTGTCCTTCGAGGACGACTTCGACTCCACGTCGACCACGTCGTCGTCCTCGTATTCGGATCGCCTCGCTATGCTGTCCGGTAGCTTGTGAGACGTGACGAATTCTAAAAACAAGATTCCTTTTTATCGAGCTAATCACCGATAGAGGATCGTTTGCTGATCGAGATTTAGGGGTATACTGTACCTTCGACGGTCACTGGATTCTTCTTATCAGTCGCGTTTTCCGCTAGGGTGCTCGCGAGGACGCAGCATAGCCTTAGGACACAAAAGGAACCAATTGAAGATTTTTTTTAAATATTGGAACTAGGTAAACATCATGCGCTTGAGGGGGGAAAGAATTAGGGTCTATTTTTTGGCTATTGGAGTGTTTGTATTAAAAGATAAAAGTTCTAGCTATGTGTCCACTTGGGGTGATCCTCTAAAGCAGGTGATTTCATTGAACTTTAGTGGATAAATTATTGGTAACTTTACTGATAAGAATATTCTGTTATTAACGAAAATTTGATGATTTAGATGAAGACTGGTAGATGATGAATTTTTGAAGGTATGTGTTCTGTTAGGATTATGTTGTAAAGTTGGTGATTTTAATGAACTCAGAGCTGGGAGCAGCTCTAATTCCGTCTAACACGCAGAACTCGACTTTCATGCGGGTACGTAATGTGAGACCCGCTTTCGAGAATGAATCCCACGTGGAGATTCAGCATAATGTCGGCGAGGCGACGCTTGGCACGGTGAAAGTTTGCGTCTGGCCGAGACCAGCTGGAAGCTGCAACCGATTCAGCCTGTTCCCTACGGGGCTGCTACAGGATTCCTTAATACCACTTTAATAATTCGATCGGTCTATACGTTGAAGTCGAACGACAAATGTCGAGAAACGTTTTGAATCCTTCTCCACAGCTGTACCAGTCTGATCTGGGTCAATTTTCCCACATCACGAAAACGATAGATGATAATATTCCGCGCACTAACATCTCAACTACACCCGAGAAAAATGTTGAATGTTAAATCCAAGACAAAATACAATTTGATTTCAAACAGACAGCTAAAGTCAAAATCGAAGTATTCAATCTGAAGTTTAAAAATTTTTAAGGATTTTCAGATTTAGTTAGATGAATCCAGTTTTTAATGGACATTGGAAATTCAGTTGGTCAGAACTGAAAGTGAACTTTTGGTAGTTGGATCCACCTTGATATTTTTAAATTTACCTGTTATTTTCTTTTCATAAAGATTATAATTTCGCGTGTATCTTTTCTAATAATGTCACTGGATATTACGTAACGTGATTTTTTGCTCGGTCGTGGAAACGGAATATACACTCGTGTTAAAGTGCCCCGTTCACCATCGATTGCAGCCGCTCCGCGGAGAGATCAATTTTCGAGGCGGGCCCAAATAATTTCGCCGAAAGAAAAAGTCAAGGCCGTCTAGTAGCCCGCCCCGGGACGCACACACGAGAGCGACCTCGTCCTCGTTCTCCTCAAGGTTGCTCGATCAGGTTCGGGAACGACCCGAAATTCGGTGAAAATCGGTAGCCCAATCGACGTCACTCTTTCTCGTCATTATCGATAATTGACGTGAAGAAATTGGAACGATACAGACTCACACCATATATTCGCTTTTTACGATCCGATCCACCTGAACGATCGATTCTCGAAGAAATTCTCGCCACAAAAATGGGGATTGAAAATCGAAAGTGAGCTTTGAAAATGAAGGAGAGAATGGCCGTAATACGAAAAATCAGCTGTTCTCGATGCGTCTACAGTAGAGCCTATGGTATCCGAACTAATGGGGAAACGTAAGTGTTCGGATAATAGAACATAATCACTCTTCTGACACTAGTCTTCCTTTATATAAACAGAGGTCAAGGAAATTGACAGTTTATATCTTCATTGTTCCCATATAATTCATCTAAGGCACATTGTTCGATTAACAGAGCGTTCGGATAATAGAACGTTCGAATATTATGGTATTTGGAAGATTCTGTGTGTATAAATGAGAACATTAACGCTCGAATTCGCCGATAATAGTCCACCAATAAACAATAATAATCGTCTTCAGTTTTGTTAATTATAAAAAAAAATAATTAATACTGTAAATAACAATTTATTATTATAGAAAAGTCTATGCAACGTTCGAATGATTCTGCGAGCACGTTATCCGTGAAATCGAGAGGGATTTAGCGATCGATCGAAACGGATGAATCGATTAACGAACGCGTATCGGAAGCGGCTCGTAAAAATAAGGCGAATATCAAGGGCTACTCGTTTCTCGGATGGTTATCCTTTGAGTTCTTTTTTACCTTTTTTTTCTTTTTCATCGTTTTCGCAACCTCTCGCGTCCTTTGCCTTTCTGGGAAGGTCGCGGTGTCTCCCTCCATCTGTGCTCTCTCTCCCTCTCTATCCTGTTCGGATAGAAAGTCGATGGGTTCGCGGACCCGATCCGCGACATTTACGAACGCGATCGAAAGGAACGGTAAATGTATCCTGTTCGTTGCGACCAGCTCATTGCGCTGGGTTATTCAGATACACGTACACGTTGTAAAAATGCGAATTTTAATCCCTCTTTTGCTGAGCAATGCGTAGAGTCTATTCTATAGGTTGCTATGCACAGAACGATCTTTTACCCTAGGGGCCATTTTGTGACCATTTTACTATATTAGTATCTAGTACAATTTATTTTCATTCTGCACTTTCGATTCTTCACCCCACCCCCCCCACTCCCCCACAATAATCGATGAAGGAATAGAGGATGGTCCTAGGGGCCATTTTATGACTATTTTACTATTGCGATTAATATTATTATATTGTTGTCTATACCAATTTATTTTATTTCTACAATCCCTAATCTTCATCATTCCAAAAAAATTGGCGAATGTAGAGACGATGACTGTAGGGACCATTTCGTGAACATTTTGTTGTTTTAGTTAACATTATTATATTAGTGTCTATTAATAATTTATTTTAAATCTACAATCTTTAATCTTCATCTTCCCATGAACATCGATGAATTAACAGACGATAGTCCCAGGGGCCATTTATTGTCCACTTCATTATTTCGATTAATATTATTATCATATTGATGTTTATTGCAATTCATTTTAATTCCATAGTCTCTAATTTCCATCCACCCGCAAAAATGGACGAAGTAAGATAGGTCTTAAGTGCCATTTTGTGTCCATTTAAAAATAGCCCGAAATGTATTTAAATTTTACTATATCTGATCTTCATCAGACGACCAACAGAATCGAATATTTCCCGCACGTTCTGAAACTGTACTAGGAACAAGTACTAATCGGAATTGCAAAGAGGGGTACGGTCGAGTGTATCAATTAGCACACCTCCGTTGATTATTTAGTAACGGGGATCCACCCTCGCGTGGCGTGCACGGGCGAGAGGAATTCCTCGCGATTCCATATGGAGAAAGCCGCGTCTCAGGCGGCCCATCCACGTAAGCACCGCTACACGATGGGTTCGTACATATGTATATATCTCCGGAGACGGCACGAGACACGCTCGTTACGTAACGCACAACATTACCGTGAAAGCCTATCGCAACACGGCAGATATATTCCGTTTCGTCTCACCTACGAAACCCAGCCGGCGCTAAATGCCCGCGTAAACAGCGCGCGCCCGGAGAGGATGCAACCTTTTGAGGAAACTTTCTATTTCGAACGGTCCGTCGAAAGGACGGGTTCGCCTTACTACGGTCAACCGAGTCTGGACCCGAGAGTCTCTCGTCGTTTCGTCCAGTATCTTCGGTAATTCGAGCAACAATCGATTAGAATCGTTCGTGTCGCGACTACACGATCGAGATTCAGGTAGGAATAGAATGATTTCCCAGCCATGGATCCAATGGATTGTTTGTAAGAAGCGTCCGGATCCTTTCTCAGACACTTTCTTCGCTCTCGGTTTCGAAGAGCGAAAGGAAGAGCG